TTGAATGGCTCTTTACAGCTATGGGAAAACACTGTAAGACAAAAGCGATTTGATTTTTTTTTTAAATGGAGAATATACACTTCCAAGAGGTTATATACTACAGTATATAAAACAATATTTATATTTCACAGCTAATTTTCTTTGTAGGATATGAATTTGAAGAGATGTAGAATATTCATTTGCAGCAACCAAACAAAAAAAACGAACATATATGTAGATGTTGTCAACGATAGAGATTTGTTTGACCAATTTATAAAAAACCACACAATGCTCGACAACTAGAAATGTTGAAAAGATATTTAACAGACCAAATATACATCATTAACGTCATATTCATATTTCTATGAATAAAATTGAAAATTATTAATGAGACAGCATTTAGATGTCAACATACCATTTTCAACAATTAAGAACTCTACAACATGTAAAACTGTATCTGCATCTAGTCTAGAGATATTTGAAAAAAAATAACTCATTTATAGTAATTACCATGGCTTTTGCCTTTATATTCAAATGCTTATATCAATCTTATAGTTTTTTTTATCAGTTTTACACTCTACTATTAATATGACATAAAATAAAGTACAGTTCAGACATCTAAAGAATGACTATGTGAAGGACATCTATTTTGTGTTAGCAATAATTTCATTGATAAATTATATATAGTTCTGGATTTTCCCCTGTGGGAAAACACTCTTCATATATATAGGAAAATAGGTAACAGTTGAGCATTAGTGATATTGATAAAGTTAATATCGTCAACATCACTTCTTTTTCACATTCGTGTGTATTATGTTTTTCTTGATGTAGGCATAGCTATTTCCATATTGTTAAGAATCTTTTCATTTTTGTATGTTATTATCAGCCACTATAGATAAACCTTTTACACAATTATCACCATTTGTATTGTCAATATTATGCTGCAAGTAGGGAAAAAAATTAATATGCTATGGTTCACGTTTTTTTAAGATTCAAGATAAAAGGACCATGCTCGTCATATAGACTGTGTATGTAATATGAAATATGTTTTTTTGTTTCTGTTAAATTCCATGCATTCGAAACGCTTTTCTGAATTTACCTTCATCAGGAACGCTCAAAACTGAATATTTGAAAGTCATTGATGTATAAGAACTGAAACAGTTATAGAGCAATATGAACAAACATGATTTAAACAAAGTTATAGCCTTATCCATCGAAAGTCAACTTTGCCTATATAGTTTCTAAATTCATAAACGGACAATTTTGGAATGGTTTGTTATAAAAAAACACTTTAATTTGCATGTAGCTTTCGGTTTTAGACGTTTGATATAATAGAAAAGTAAAATAACAAAAATACGGAACTCCAAGGACAATTCAAAACTGAAAGTCCCTTATCAAATGGCAAAATCAAAAGCTCAAACACATTAGACGAATGGAAAACAACTGTCATATTCCTGACTTGGTACAAGCATTTCCTTATGTAGATGGTGGTTTTATAGCTAGCTAAACCTCTCACTTGTTTGACAGTCTGATAGAGATAGACACTACTTTCGATAATGTTTTGGGTTTAAAAAGAGAGGCGAAAGATACCAAAGGGACATTCAAACTTATAAGTCGAAAATAAACTGCAATGCTATGGCAATAAATGTTTAAGAGTGTTGCTATATATATATATGTAGACTGACTTTGAATTCACCTAAAATTCTACCTATACTTAAGGAAAGTAGAGTTTATCAATGATAGTCTTAATATAGGTTGCATTACAAATTTATCCCTGTATATTTTTGGAAAACTGAGACAGACACTTAGTTTTCGATTATTGTAGTATCCACATATATTTGCTAGTGCTTTTAGTTGTCTGCATTGTCATTATTGTGCAATACATATTCTGCCACTGTGAAGATATTGGTTAACCAATTGGTAATACAGGTGTCCAATAAGTCACTCGATACTAAGCACACCATATCCATTAGATATATTTGAAATATCACAAGGTCAAAATGAACAGACAATACAATGCCTAGAACTAATGACATTTTTTTTTATATATAATTACATAAGTAACGAACTTGAGATATGCAATGCCAAATTGGAATGAAGCGAGAACGTGGTGACGATAAACTTATTTCTAATTATGTAACAACACAATCTAAAGATGACTCCTTACGTTTCTTTCCTGTTTATGGTTTCGTCATATCTAAAAATACCATCAGAAGTGTTTTAAGACCACTAGTTTATATATAGATTGCAAAATTGCTAATTTTGGTTTTACAAAAAGGAATTTTGCAATCCAAAAATAAACTAGTCGTCTTTAAACATATCAAATATTTGGATTGGTATATTATCTATTAAATATATGCCACTTCTAAAGGGTGATTTCAGTGCGTATGCCATAAAACTAACTTTTAAAGCTCATATTAAAGCAATGAATAGGCTAAATTAAAAACGGGTTTAAAGGGTATTTAAAACCAAAAATTCGAAAAAGTTTTCCAAATCGGCTATATGTACCTGTTTCAGTGGTTGTCGTTTATTGATGTGGTTCTTAGGTGTTTCTCGTTTCTCGTTTTTTATATAGATTAGACCGTTGGTTTTCCTGTTTGAATTGTTTTACACTAGGAATTTTGGGGCCCTTTATAGCTTGCTGTTCAGTGTAAGCCAAGGCTTCGTGTTGAATGCCGTACTTTGACCTACAATTGTTAACTTTTTACACATTGTGACTTGGATGGAGAGTTGTCTCATTGGCACTCATACCACATCTTCTTATTTCTACTTGAAAGAAAAACCTAAGTTTACCTTAGACTTTAGAAATATTTTTTTTTTATTTCTTCAAAACCTTAATAAATGAAGGTTAATAATGTGCGTACTATGTAACCCTAGGTATATGTCAAAAGAGCTTTAACGCATACAAACCAATATACACTTAAAACTCAGATGTCATATGCTTATATGAACGAAAATGTTGTTGTCACCTATAAGAGAGATCGTCTATTTTTAAGCTAAAAGACTGATGTAACTTCCTATATTTTCTATAAATTGTAAAAAGCGCTTCAAATGCATCAAATGTGCATTCTTTTTTTTTTACTTACACTTCCCGAGATCATATAAAGAGCTTCAAAGTGTCGCATAGGTAAACATAATCGTTTGCCTCGAAAAAAAAGAAGACATATAAACATTCTCAAAATGTTGAAAGACCATTATCAGAACATAACTAACTGTACCAGACTGTAGAAGTCTTATCACAAACGGGATCCTACATCCTAAGTTTTAGGATGGTGTTGTTTATGAAGCCCGTAAATTTATATCCGATCCATACAGTTTCTACATAAGGAAATGCCTGTACCAAGTCAGGAATATGACAGTTGATTTCCATTTGTTTGATGTGTTAGAGCTTTTGATTTTTATCATTTAATAAAGGTCTTTCCGTGTTGAATTTTTCTTGGAGTTCGGTATTTTATATATTCTACTTTTGTCTTTATGGTATATGTCATTTGTGCTTCGTGCCAATCTACTAAGTCGAATTTGTTTCCAACTGATTTTGGTAGTTTGCTCCTATTTAGTACTGTAACTACATTGTCCCAGATTGGAGAGGATAGAGCGTTTAACCATATGCTTAAACCTGCCACAAAGTTTATGTGCCATTCCAAAGTAACGAGTCTGTAATTCAGATGTTGTCATTGGTAGCTGCCTTTTTGTTCTTATTTTTTTGTTTATTGTTTTGTCATAAATCAGACCTTTTATACCTAATTTTACAGTATAGGTTTTGCTCATTGTTGAAGGTCGTTTGCTGACCTATAGTTGCTTACATCCACGTTATTGGACTCTGATGGACATTTGTCCCATTGGAAATCATATACACACATATATATGTAGGACTCTGAACCGCGATGGTACTCAGAACCGTGATGGTCACGCTGATGTGCAATGGTTTAATGCTGAAGTGCGTTTTTGATAACGCCGAAGTGCGATGGTGGCATTTTGACGCTTTCTTGTTGATGGCTACGCCGAAGTGCGATGGTGGTTACGCTGAAATGCGATGGATTAAATAAATCATATTTTCAATGCTTTTCATGTTCACATGCCGATGTAGAAGTCAATTTGTTTGTAAGAAGTAGCTTTTTGTTATTGTTTTACATGTACAATATCGAAAGTATAACCCGTTTAATTAAAAACTGTCATGATAAAAAGTCATTCCATTTTCAGTTTTGACTGTAACGGCGTAGTGTACATAATACTTTGTAAATAGCTTTAAAACAACAGTCATTCATACAATTGTTCAGAAATTGATGCTACATGCAGAAGCTATTTTCCTTTAAAACCAGTACCCATTACAATGACTGAAAAAAAGTGGTAGTTGTTTTAGATGCAAATACTTCTTGGAAAGTCAGACAAAATAAACAAAAAATCTATACGCTGCTGTAAATAAGATAGATCATCGATGTTTTTTACTGCAACTGGAGAAAAATACTGCACTTATGATATTTATATACTAAATTATAAAAAATCCAAGCTCTCAATATAATTGGACATCTGTAAATTTTAAACTAGCTATCAAGCGTCTTATAGACCATGGTACATCAGCGAAAAGGACCATAGCACTTCGGCGCAGACCATCGCACTTCAGCGTGACCATCGCACTTCAGCGTCCTCATCGCATCTCCGAGTCATACATATATATATAACAATCCTGACTGGTAAAACCATCCTCCTTAGATTTGAATCAATGAAGTGATAAATTCATTTCTGTAAGTACTTACAGTTTTCCTTAACAAACCGAATAGTGCGATTATAAACTTTAGAAAAATATATCATAAGGCCCATTGTACAAATTATGAAAACCCAAGTTATGATAAAGGCTGGCTGCTTTGTTTGTTCGTCGATATATCAATACCTTCAATGCACACACTATGCTTAGTATAGCATTACTAATAAGATTGTTACATGACGAAAATATAAGAATAGATTTGGGTTTCCCAGGACATGAAAATTTTCACAAGTTAAAATATATAAAGAGTTCACTGCTTACTAGTGTAATCAATTATTTTGTGATCTAGTGAATATACATGGTAAGTTATGATTTGGCTTTTTGCAATGTTTTATGCATTTTATGAAGACTAATGTCTGAATTATAAATCCTGAAAATGATCTTACACATAACCTGTACGAAAATTCATCTTTTAATAAATAATAATGTTTAAGTTAAATCGATTTATGACTATTAAACAACGGTATACTACTATTGCCTTTATTTACAAAGTTGCAAAACCGACTGTCCCCAATAATAGTTGACAAGAAAATGTTTCCAATTAAAAAAAATTCGTTGCATCCTCTGGTGACCCTCATTGAAAAGTGAAACTTCTAATCCTTACGTCTTTGTAAACATTAAATGTGTTTTCTTAACGATTACCAAATACTACTGTTTGATATGGTTATTCTTGTTATAATTTTTAAATAGGTGTTCATTAAATTAAATTGATTAGATTATTGGTTTTTTTTACATAATTAGTACTTGTAGGTAATGAGCTATTGATTATGCTGTGTAAGTGTCCCAATTACTTATGTAGATGGGTTTTCGTCCGTTGAACAACAAACCAAAGAATGTAAAATATATTTTTTTTGTGTTTCCGTGTTGTAGATATATTCCCGAGCGAGTACTCGAGTATCGCTCGATAAAACCAACGAGTACTCGATTAGTAATTTTTCACCGAGTTGACATCCCTAGTTTTTGGTAACGTTATGTATACATAAATTAATGCGACCAATAACTAATATGATGACGTTTATAGATTCAAATAAATGCGAACAAGAAAGAAACTTCTGATGACGTATTACACACAATTAAATATATTGATTAATTCATAACTGCTTTTTTCAATAACTAATGACAAGAAATGATAACGTTTTCTAAATAAAAGGGCCAGATTTTCTTCATATGAAAACCAATTGGAAAAGAGTGCAGTGTAAATAATATGTGGCTTCCCATCAAATAACTAATTAATTAAAAATTGGTACACCGGCAAATTTTGCTTACGAGAATATTTACATGCATCTCACGTGAATTTTACATGAATATTACAAATTCACGTGAAAAATTTTATGAATATGCAAAAGCCAGATTAAGAAAGATTTATGTTTGTTTTAAAAGAATTTGTGTGCCTAATTGCACCCCTTCTTGTTTTCCATTGTTGCGATCCAGTGTAGACCACAACACCAAGTTAATATTGGTAATTCATTGAATCTTCCCTTGTAAATTTTGTTTTTTGTGACATGTATGTTACGGGCATCTACATTTCGAGGCATATAGCACGTATTTCTTCTTTCTATACCATTATTGTAGCGTTTCTGTTTCTAACAGACGTGGTTCATTGCTTTTACACCAAAATATACCTACTATCGTAAAATTATGTCCCTACATCACTTTTTCCGCAAGAATTATGCATGTTTTCACATTTTTTCCGCAAGTCACGTGACATTATTAAGAGATAAACCACTTGACCAAAAAAGAAAAATTTTCTTCTGATTAAATTTTCTGAAATGTTCAGATCTTTCATATGAGTTCAATATGGTCTTTGTATAAGCTTTGGTACGAATGCTCTATTCAATTGAACTTGGATAGTGTATTTTCAATAAGGTTAGGTCTAAATTGCCTGAAGGTAAAAAATATTAAATTAATTTGAATAACTTTTTTTTGAAAATTCACGTGGATTTCACGTCAAAATTTTTTGTGATGTTCACATGAGATTCACGTGAGTTTCACGTGAAAGCTCGTTTCAGGTGAAATACAGATGAATTTCACATGATATTCACATAAATCTCAATTCAAGTGAAATTCACGTGAGTGAAATTTCCCTGTGTACATGGTGCTACGTTTCTGTGTTTTAGGTCCGCCATACAGATAAATGTAGCTTAAACTTGGACAAAGCGCAAATTTGATTTGTTAGGTAAACATATATTCCATTTTCATAATCCAGAATTTACTAATTTTAGACTTTAGCTAGCAGCTGACCAATCGTTCAGGTTGTGAAATTTATAATTTTAAAAACACTTGCCCAAATGTTGAAAGATAATCATTTTCAATTTTCAACTTAATTGAAGAATATTTTATTGCTTTAATTGACGGTCACTAAGGTATTTGTGGGAACTGTTAGAGCTACTTATGGAAGTATGTGACATATTGTTAGAGAATCACGTTTCTTTTTGAGAGATCTCATAATAATTCGATTACAGACCAAATTCAACTATGTTAACTAATTTGTGAAAAGTGTGAAAATGTTAATGCAGTTTTTACTGACTAAAGGTATCTGATTTAGTATCATTTGACAATCTGCAATTGTAATTCTTAGAAATTCCACCAATCTATCTTTAGTTATCGAATAAAAGGGTGAAATGCTTGTATAATCTACAGCAGTAGAAATGTCTAAAATTTGAAATTGTTAATATCTGATATGTGATACTTACACTGACCAGACATGGTGGTCGACTACTTTCAAAAGAAACAAATTGCAAAAAGCTTAATTCAAAATACAACTTTGTTTACCTCAATTGTATTTTTATAATCATTTAAGAAAAGTAATTTAATACGTCACAAATAATATTTTCAAATTCATTGAAAGAACATAACAAATAAACATTACTTTGGATATTGTATAGCATCATTTAAAAATATATAAAGTTGCTAATCTGCATCCCCTTTTGACTTAGAGCACTTAACATCATCAAGAGTCAAATGTTCTGTTATTAAATTTACACCTTTTTAGTGTAAACTTTTTCAAACTCTGCTGAAATGCATTCAAATGGTGATGTTGAAGGAGGTTTTTTCACAAAACGATAAATTTTAAATTTCAAAAATAGAATGGATAAAAGTCTACAGCTATAAATATTTTGAGATCACTGAAGGGGTCCAGTTTTGGATGAGAGGTGCATATTTCACACAATGTTTAATACATTGTGACAATGTAGGCTGTCATTTTTTATGAATGGCAGTAGAGACATATATGCAATGATAAATTGATTCACAGTTTAAAGGAGTTTGGTGTTATTAAAGTGACAATAAGTCACATGTCAAACATGTCAAAGCCATAGGGCTAATCAAATCTCTTACATCATGTATTGGAAATGTGGACATGATTCAAAATACTAAATAATCATTTTACAAGTCGAAAGTCTTTAGCAAATCAGATAAAAGTAGATAAATAATCATCTTTGAAACTACTGAACCTTTAATCTTATTATTTGCTACTACTTTCCATTGCTTGTAATATCAGCGTATATTTTATAATTCTGTATAAGCATGTTCACAGAAACTAACAATAAAAAGTTAATAAACTATAATTAACTGACAAATGTTGGATGGCATGGAAATAACTTACAAACACTAATATAAGGATTGGAAACTATCACCGATAAAACATGTATTAACATTGAAAGTTTATTGATGTCTTGATTGATAATGCCAAAAAGCATTGTTAAAGAGTAAAAGGTAAAACATCGTGTATGTTTTAACATCATGTATATAAATATAATGATGTACACTATTTCAATACTTTGGACTCCACGAACTAGCATTTAGCATTTTACCAAATAGATTCCTATCGTTATGACATATATATACTTTATTAATGCACCTACACTTTTAGGTAAAGTGATGTACACATCAACTTTTGAAATATATGTTATATTAAAGTGAACTAGGTATATATGTATAATCAAATACATATTACACAAGGATCGCAGACCGGTTATTATAAAACCCGCATGTCCGATAACAACTAGAAATATAAAGAAACTATCGGAAACTATGTTACTACCTTCAGATGTGCTACGTGCTCGAATTGGTTTGCTTTCACAAATAATACATAATGGTCTTGATGTATACATTCTAGGAACTCACGTTGTTTATTATCTTAATTACGTGTTTTATTTGTCTTTGTGTATCATTAACGTTCACTGTTCACTGTTTTGTCCATTTTTGGTAATATCCTTCAGGCGTGGCTCGGTACTTGTACATCTCGCCATTGTGTTTTTGTGCTGTGGTCAATTTTTTGTATTCTTGTGTTTCTGTTTTGCGTATGTGCTTTGTCTATATGCAATTTTGTTTTTCTTTGTTCACATATTTGTTTGTCTTTATAGTGATTGAGATTATAACACAATGATGACTGCTTTACCCCTGTTTTTGACATTTGTATCTATTTTGTCTGTTTGTTTTGTTCACACATTGTTGTCATTATAATGGAATTTTATGTGACTGTCATAAAAGTGAGAGATTTAGCTAGCTTTAAAACCTGGTTTAATTCACCATTTTTTCTACATAAGGAAATGTAAGTACCAAGTCAGGAATACAGTTGTTTTTCCATTCGTTTGATGTGTTTGAGCTTTTGATTTTGCCAATTGTTAGGGGTGTTTCCGTTTTGAATTTTCCTTGGAGCCGGTATTTTTGTTGTTTTACTTTTTTTCCATATCTTTATGAGTCTGCAAAGTAAATAACTAGATGAATGAATAAATAGAGTAAAACGAATGACAAGACATAGATTAATATGTCAACAAAATAAGTTTCATTTCCGGATAAATAACTTTTATTATCATCAAATATATATCTTTGATAGCTCCATACTGAAGTGCGGGCATTGCATATACAAAAGTAAGATATCTCCTTGGAAGACATAGTAAATACATTATACAGAAAATGTGTTATATGTTATATGTTACATCGCGTTGATAATATGAGTATTTTGTTTCATACTACAACAATATATATATATTACAAATTATAAGCTAAGTTTCTTTGGTGAGTTTTTACAAAACCGAAAACGGGATATGTAGAATTCATTTTTAAATTACACTACCTGTTAAATTGATTATGAAAAATTAAAGGAAAACAGATTAGCAATAATATAAATAGTGGAAATTTTTTATATATGGTAAATAACTTATTCAAAATCTGACTAAATATATATAGACGAGCTAATAATATATCTTTAAAATCCACATTCAATGCATCTACATGTATTAAAGAAAATTCACACAAAATTTCCATTTAAATCCCCAGCATTCATTGCCTCAAACTTGAGATTAAAAATAGACAAAAATAAATACACTTCCTAGTGAAACTTTCGAGCGACAAACATGTAAATATTATATGAGCGCAAAATATCAAAATCTTTTTAATTATATAATAATCAGAGTAAGTTTGTTTTTTTTCTATTTTATAGTTAACTAAAGGATACATAATTTATCAACCAATTAATAATACATGTATGAAGTATGTGCTAAACACAGTTTTATTCAAATTATAATGACGGTGAATTAACAACAAGGTAACTCTTTGCAAGACCTTACACGCAACAAGGAACAATAGAAATCATTAATAACAAGAACAAACATTAGTTTAATCTTAATTCTATATATTTTCTTACAGTTTGTAGAAATTATGTTCCTTGTATTATAATTAACCAAATAGTATGAAAGAATATTTCATTGATGCGTTTTTTTCTAAACATTCATAACAATTCAACGGTACATATAAAATAGACTAGAAAATAGTTCTCATATAAAAATATTTATATGTATAATGCAGTATATAATGACATCGAGCATCACTGAGGGGACATTTATTGTAGAAATGCGGATCTCGTCCAGGAAAATGGGTACCGTTAATAACATTAGGTAGTAAATTAGGCAAGCATGACCAGAAGTGGATTTGGCTTTTCCTTTAACCATGCAATTCATCAAGTATTCACAATTAATATATTCTTGAATTTCAATTTTTAGATTTAAGCGATGACTATATATTCAGAACAGCGCGTCGGACGCACAAATTTTATAAAGTGTTTTTTTCCATGTTCATTAATCGTAAAATTGAGTGTGATTATTATCAAATTTAATGTTTAAAATTGAAATTTATGACACGAAAGATGAATAAATAAAAAATATAATAAAAAAAAAAAAAAAACATGAAGTGATTTAAAATAACATTCAGTCAAATGTGTATTTACATGTCATATGTAAAACACGTATTTCGTTCTCCTTAAAATGTTACGACCCAGTGTTCAATAACAAAAACAGTATAAAATGTATCAGTTTCCTTAAAGTGGTTTACTTAAATCTTTAACAAGACTGAAATTGAATATGAAAAAAAGATATCTAGTGATACTCGATGTTATTAAATTTTCGTAATTATGTCCGAGGGGTCACTCGTTATACTTAAATGTTTACATTTTGAAAATTCAAATTAAATGTTTCATATCTGAATTAAAATATACAAGTTGGAAAAGGAAAAAAAGAGATAAAAATACTGCATAAACACCATCCCTATCAAAAACTAAAAGTCAACTTATGTGCCCATTGGTAAGCAGTACATGTAAGTAGTTTCATCTCGAACAATGGCACCCGTTGTGTTATAATCAGATGAAATATATTACTGTAGATTACCCTTTTTGTTTTACACTTGGAGATAACCATACTGTTCAACCAACGGTAGATTATTGTTCTTATTTTAACACATGACAGACAGTGAAAGTTTAAAATGATACGAAAGGTATTACATGTTAAGGGATAGAAACTATCATTACCGATAGCAACAACGATGATATTGCAGACATATAACACAATAAAGCATCAACGACTTTACACCATTTTTTAACTTAAAAAATTTTGTAATCGAAAACGACATATGCATGTACGAATGTACGTATTCTGATATCAATATTAATATATTCATTTGATTAATCAAAAAATCTAGCTTCAAAATTAAACATTTTTTTATTATTTCATTGTTATAACAAAATGTTTGCATTGGGAGTTTACTTTGTATATGGCTGATTAAAAAGCAGAGTGCTGTTAGTAGATCAATGTTATAAAAGTTTACATTACACGATTGACATTTATAAAAAAATAATTTGCAACTATGATATGATATAATAGCCCCTTTAAAATAATCAAATAACACAACTATTTAAGATAATACATTCCTATATTTCAAACGTAGATTTACGACATTTTCCAGACTTTTAAAACGAATGCAAGGCAATGGCAATAACGTTGTATATTGCTTTCTATTGTTTTCCTACATATTTCATTTATTTTACTCATACATTAATCGTGAAATGATCCATTCTACGATCTCTTAGTTTCTAATTTTTTTTTTCGGAATATACCGTAATTGCTGAAAATGAGTAAATTAAAAAACCACGTTAATCCATATTAATTCACCACAATTCCAATCAAAACGAGAAGGACAGGATCATGCATATGGTCGTTGAATTTAGTTTTTCTATGTTGTGTTTTGTGTACTATTATTTGTCTATTTCTTTTTATACATTGCTTTGTCAGTTTATTTTCGACTTATGAGTTTAAATGTCCCTTTGGTATCGTTCGCCCCTCTTTTAAGGCCAGATAGTGTATTATAACGTTTTGCTCAGTCAGCAAATCATAAAGCCTATTATTTTTAAGTATAGATAATCCAGATTTTTTTTTAAGGTTTTGATGATCGTAAATGATAAGGACTTTCATTTTGATCTTTTATTTAGCTCATGATGATTGTTCCATTAACAAACACAAAACCGAATGAAATCGTATTTTCAACATGTCTTTTTAAATGACACTGTCATCAGTTTCAAGCGGGTATACTTTTCAATTTTGTTATGTGATATGGGCAAACCATACTCATGTGGTTATTGAATATTTAATAGTATCCAGAACAAATATAAGACAATACGAAAAGAACATAACGAAAACATTGAATTAACTTCAATAAATTAAAATGTTTACCTATCATGTTTGTTTGTTTTCAACATAAGGAAATGCCTGTACCTTGTCAGGAATATGATAGTTGTTTGTCATTCGTTTGATGTGTTTGAGCATTTGATTTTGCCATTTGATAAGGGACTTTCAGTTTTGAATTTTCCTTGGAGTTTGGTATTTTTGTTATTTTACTTTTCACACATTGTTGTCAATATAATGGAATTCTATATGACTGTCTTGCAAGTGAGAGGTTTAGCTAGCTATAAAACCAGGTGGTTCTTTTTACCTTACGGAAATACCTGTACCAAGTCAGGAATAACAGTAGTTTTACATTCGTTTGATGTGTTTGAGCTTTTGATTTTGCCATTTGATAAAGGACTGTCCGTGTTGAATTTTCCTTGGAGTTCGGTATTTTTGTTATTTTACTTTTGCCTGTACCAAGTCAGGAATATGACAGTTGTTTTCTATTCGTAAGTTAGTTCAGCGTTCAATCTGTCAGGTTTTGTGGACTTCCCCCTTTTTGAATATACATTTGAGTACGGTATTTGTGTTTATACTTTTTAATATATTTTCTAGATGAAAGTTCCAAGAGCCATTGAAGAGACAAAATTTAACAATGAAGATGACGAAAAAATTGTAGGAGCAATAAAACAATGTCTCGAAGACGATAGTTGTCTACCTTTGTTAAAGGAAGAGATTAAATTAAAAATTCAGTGTAAGAGGGTAATATCAGGAGAGGAAGAATTAAAAGTGGAACATCGTCGACCTGTAAAATATTTAGTGAGTTTTCGGCAAAAAATACGAAATTAACCATCTTAAGGCGAAAACATAGAAATGTTTTAATGCTTTTGTTTCATTAACTTGAGGCACATTGCTGTGTGTCAGTCGCACGGGCACTAATTTAAATGACAATTCTTCTTGTTAATTATAGAGTAAAACCAAAATCTTTTCATAATTGATCTTGATACTTAGAAACTTAGATAATAGCACTGGATTAGTATTGCTGATGAACCTTATCCGTATGTCGCAGTTTGCAAAACCTGATTAAAAATTAAAACGAAACTATATAAATTTCGACGAAGGATGAGAAACAGAAACATTTTATGGCATCGACATATCAATTTTTTTCCGTATGTTCATGTTTGTTCCTGTCATTTCATATTGTTTTTGTTATGCATTTTCCTTGATTGATTACACATTTAATGCAGTAATAACATTTAATGCAAACATAGAAAATCATAAAAGTGTCGTTAATAAATCCTCAACAATATTTATTTATACAGTTAACAGAAGAAGAAGTATTCAAACGTAACAGACGGAAGGAACAGAACAGAAAATCAGCTGTCCGTACACGGGCAAGACAGAAAGCACGAATAGCAGTACTGGAAAAAGTACAAAATATATTAAAGACTTTGTTCGTTTTAGATACAATTACAAATTTTTATATAATTTATTTTCAATTTGAAAAACTGAAATGCAAACACTTCTTTTTATAAATCAAATTTATGTTTCAGAATAACGAAAGTATTGGCAAAAGACATCTCCAGCATCATTTCAAAACACCAAAAATTAATGTAAAAAAAGAAATTACTAACATTTTAAATATGGAGAGAAAGTAAACATTTTCTTATGCATCAAACATTTTCCAAATTGTATAGTTTTTTAAGGGTCCCTTAATTGAATTTACTACACATGAAAAGAAGTCTAGATACGCTTCAGCACTTGCATAACAGTCATAAGAGGTCTACAATTTACACAAAAGAATCGTAATATGCTTACTATTATGAATTAACGATTATCAGAACATAAGTTTTCATATTTAATAGTAATAATTCTACATAATTTGCACGAACTCGTCTTGACGAAAACACATGGAATCAAATTTCTCAATTTTTTCATTATTTTCATTCCAACCGATTGTGAAAAATTGTTTTCCTCACAAGTGAAATGTCTGTTATCGGCAAAAAATTGGTCGAAATTTAATTATGACGTCAAATTTTCTTGGTTTCGTTTGAATTTCCTATTGCGACGTCATGAAGAAAGGCGACCATGTCTAATGACATCACATATAAAGAACACAATTTTCAAAAAATCTTTAAAAAGGAAGAATAAAAATCATTAGAGAAACAGATTCCATCACTATTACTCGTGTATTACGATATTTCTCCACTCTCAACAGTTAAATTTCAATTATCTAAAAAGTTTGGCAAGTCTCGCGCTTTAAATTTAACTGTCTCGAATGGAAAAATATCGTAACACACTTGTTGCAGTGGTAGAATCCCCCTCCCCCCCTCTGTCCATCACAACGTGTTAACCAATGATGAAATTATCATCTGATAAGAATCGTTTTAGATGCGCTTAAGTGATTTGTTTTTTTTTTTAAATTATGCATTGATCTAGTAAAAAGTAAAATAACAAAAATACCGAACTCCAAGGAAAATTCAAATCGGAAAGTCCCTTATCAAATGGCAAAATCAAAAGCTCAAACACATCAAACGAATGGAAAACAACTGTCATATTCCTGACTGGGGTACAGGCACTTCCTTATGTAGAAAATGGAGGATTTACAGACAAAGAAGTTATTTTTGTTACAGTGTTATTTACATAATGCAAACGTTTCCGTACACTGCATTGTTAATATAACCTAGGATACCAATTGTGGATCGATGAAAACTATATATAGATATAAGAAGATGTGGTATGAGTGCCAATGAGACAACTCTCCATCCAAGTCAAAATTTATAAAAGTAAACCATTATAGGTCACAGTACGGTCTTCAACACGGAGCCTTGGCTCACACCGAACAGTAAGCTATAAAGGGCCCCAAACATTTCTAGTGTAAAACCATTCAAACGGTAAAACCAACGGTCTAATCTCTATACAAAACGAGAAACGAGAAACACTTATGAACCACATCAACAAACGACAACTACTGAACATCAGATTTCTGACTTAGGACAGGTGCAAACAAATGCAGCGGGTTTAAACGTTTTAATGGTACCAAACCTTCAATCTTTTTCTGAAACAATAGTGTAACATCACAACAAAGAAAGACACACTATAAAATATCAACTGAAATAGCTTAACTCAACCAAAGTCAATAGTCAAAGTCAAAGTCAATCAATAGTCTTGCTCAGGTAAGTTTCGGATTAAGTATGGTTTGTTGTACTGTCGTATAATTGTTTAGGATTCCTGCTATCCTGTTTACGTTTTATTTAAGAAAACAAAAATCTAAACCGTGTTTGACCAATTCAGCCACTAACTTTCATGAAAGATAACAGGCTCAGTATTTGACATGTAAGACGCTCGTCGCTGTTTGGGTAACGCACACAATTTTATCAAAAAACGTAACAACTGTAATAAAAGTGGAAGGATTAGCTAACTATAAATCCAGTTTAACCTACCATTTTTTTTTATAGGAAAATGACTGTATTAAGACAGGATTACGACAGTTGTTTTCCAGTCGGTTACCCTTGTTGATATAGTCAAACGTTTGGATTGGTCAGGTTTTATGGAACTTCCCTTTTTGAATTTAATTTGGAGTTCGGTATATTTCATGATTTATTCTTTCCGTCTACATATATAAAGACCGCAGCGATGTTAAGGCAATTTCGATAAGATTTTGTCAGGGGCAGATAACCCCGTAAACACCTCATTATGTATTCATATATTCATTAATGGCGGAAAATCCGTAAGCAGCGTCTATCGATGAAACTGTATGAAATCAAATTACATACATGCCTGTCAACTAAAAACAGGTATTCATATGATGTAATTTGTGTATCGAAACACGAATATTGTATGTTTGTGCTATAATTATTATGGCAAACAGTTGCAATAGCTGTTTTTCTTGACGAGATTGTCGGCTTTTGGACCCCGCCTCGTTTTGCAGATTAACCAATCAGTGAACGATCGCCGTCAAAAAGATGTTTGTAGTTTGCAGAATGGAAAGAACCTTGCAGCGAAAATTATTTTCACTTCTACGTGAAAATCTAACCAGAAAAGTAAGTGTAAGCCACCAAATATGTATTATTTAGGAAACATACGTTGCTTGTTTTGTTAATCATTCGCTTCAGAAAGCGAAAAACTGCATACTATTAGATAAAAGCGAGTTCAGTGTTGGCAAGTATGATATACACGTGGTCAAAACGAAACTAGACTGCAACAAATATATGAAATTTGAATAATTTATCGATTCCCGTCAATAAATGAACAGAATATCGAATGAAACAAGTTTCCTGCATTATACCAAGAGCCAATTCTCAACATTTACCCTTAAATTCGTTTCAAACTTTCGTTTCGAAGCCGAAGGTATCCTGCCATTCCTGGTTGGGTACATTTGCTCCACCGTTCACTTCTCTCCGGAACCCACGTAGCTGGACTAGAGCCATGATCTCTACCTTGAAAGCATCGAGCTCTTAAAGGAGCCCTAAACACGTAATCTGGAGCTCGACCACATATGGTGTACCCCCCCCCCCCCCCCCCCCCCCCACCACCACCAACCTCTACTCTCACCATAAAATCAGAAAAAAGTGCCGCTTGTAATAAAGTTGCTTATTCTGTGACAACAGACCAGAGTGCGGAGGCACGAAAGTACGCAAATCACATTATCAATTTATAAATGGAGAAGGCCACAGCTCTTAAGGAACCAATAGATTAAGGGGGGTCTCATACTTATTGCTCTGAATGTTAGTCTACTACAAGCCGCTGAGACAAAAAAAAATTACAACACATACAAGTCATGCAAGTGTTATGGACCAAGCGTAACAGTTAAAACAAACCAGACACCATGAACACAAATTAAACAACAATAATCATAAATGAAATATCAGTTATCACACATACTTGAAAGAAGCATATTTTTATTTGGAGCTCCGCCTAAGAATCATTGCTGGTGAATCATTCAGACAATATCTCTAAACAGCTTTCACCAATCTTCATGAAACTTTGGTGAATTGTTTGAATTTATTGACAAAAGTTTTCTTTCCAATTCTATTAGGTATTTTTGATATCTGGTTTTTGAGTATTCATAATTATTTATTCATAATAAAGGGTCGAAATTATGGCGTTTTTCGGACAATGACTCAAAAACGCTTAAACAAATTTTCATGAAACTTTGCTTAAATGTAACGTAAGCTCCCTTAAGATTTTTTTATATATTTTAGATTTTACTTATTCCAGTTATGGGATTTTGTTCATAAAAATTTTCATGAATTGTGCCACTGTGCGCAAGTTTTTTTTTTATCTTGTATACCCCCACTTTTAGTCTTTAAAAAAGTGGGGGTACAAATGTACTGTTTTACTTCTGTCTTTACATCCTAAAGTCAGTCGGTCCGTCCGTCCCATGAATATTTTGTGTCGCATCTTTCTCAGGAACATTACAGGGATTTCTGAAATTTCAGGTTTTAGAGTTTATATGAGTCAGCTATACCGTGTCATGCTTTTTCAGATTCATCCCTCAACAACTTCCTGTTTACCTTATACTTTAAGGGTATGGGGGTATAATAAGTGAGCAGTAAATCAAAGATTCACCTGTTTTTTATACGCCCGTTTACGGGACGTATTATGGTATACCTTTGTCCGTCAGTCTGTCCGTCCGTTTGTCCTTCGTCAACATGTCAGACATTAACTCAAAAACGCTTTAACCAATTTGCATAAAACTTTGATGAATTGTTTATACCTATTGACGTGAGCTCTCATTCGTTTTTTTTAATTTTAGATTTAACGTTTCCGAGTTATTGGGTTATATTCGTTAAAAAAAGGGGGATTTTCCAGTTTTCGGACAATAACTCAAGAATGCTTTCACCAACTTGCAAGAAGTTGTGGTGAATTGTTTATATCTATTGACATGAGCTCCCTTTTGATTATTATAAATTTTAGATTTTATGTTTCTGAGTTACAGGTTTTTATTCATATAAAAATGGTAGATTTTCCAGTTTTCGGACAAAAACTCAAAAATGCTTTCAGCAGTTCTTATGAAACTTTGGTGAATTGTTTATATCTATTGATGTAAGCTCCCTTTAGAGTTTTATAAATTTTACATTTTACATTTCTGAGTAATGGTGTTTTATTCATTAAAAAAGGGGGGATTTCCCAGTTTTCGGAGAATAACTCAAAAATGAGGGGAGGGGGGGGGGGGGGGGGGGCTGGCTATTTTGAGCAGTGAGTGCTCTCAGCATTTCTAGTTAATCATCATGATCATAAAAATTAATTTAAGACATAAAGACGAGCTTAAATGACAACACGCGTATCATGTGTTCATGGCACAGCTCTTTATTTGCATAGGATGAAGCAATTCCAGAAATCTGAGAAAAAATAGGCATTATATCTACATGTGTATGAATAAAATTCTGATATCAAATAAGGGTTGTGTGGCAGACGTAATTTCTTTATTCAAGAAATTATATGAATCATTATACACATGTTTATGCTCCTTATTTTAAAAAAAGTATCTATTTGTAATTAAATAACTACTTTCTCTTTTTTTTTTTAGCTCACCTGTCAATTACAAGATACAGTATGCCATTCCAGCTTTGATAAATATAAAGTAATGGTTTGAATTTGGAGAGCTTTATTATTATAGACAGGTAAATTGTTTTATCCTGCAATTAGCACACTATTGTACAATGAGGCAACTCTCCTCAAGAGTCCAAATGATGCAGAAATTAACAACTTTAGGTCACCTTATGGCCTTCAACAATGAGCAAAGCCCATAGTCCATTATATAAAAGGCCCTGAGGTGACATATGTAAAACATTTCAAAGGAGAAAACTAACGGCCTAATTAATGTAAAAAAAAATGAATGAAAAAACAAATATGTAACACAGCAACAAATGACAACTGCTGAATTACAGACACATACATACAGAATGTGGCGGAGTTAAACATGTTAGAGAGCCTGGCTTTCTTCCTGTTTTATAATTTGTGCAAATAAATTTCTGTTTTCTTGCTTTGTAAGAATATTGTATGATGTAAATTCAGAAATTATTGCCATATTTTTATAAGGCAACTTTGAATATCGCAATTATAAGAATTCATATTCTGAAATCTATACATATAAGTAACTGTACAAGTATGTAGATTTTTCTGAAATCACAATTATTAATCTCACTTTTTTGTCCATTTTTCAAAATTTGCATTAATAAATGTACCCAATAATCATGATAATTTTTATTCGACTGCAGTCGTATATTGGTATGACATTGGCGTCGTTGTCGTCCGAAGACACATTTGTTTTCGCACTCATACTTAAGTTGAAGTGAATGGATCTCTATGATATTTTACCATAAGGTTCAATACCACAAAAGGAAGGTTGGGATTGATTTTGGGGGTTATGGTACCAACAGTTAAGGAATTAAGGGCCAAAAACAAGCATTTTTATACGACCGCAAAAAAATTTTTGTGGTCGTATATTGGTATGACGTTGGCGTCGTCGTCGTCCGAAGACACATTGGTTTTCGCACTCTAACTTTAGTTTAAGTGAATGGATCTTTATGAAATTTTACCACAAGGTTCAATACCACAAAAGGAAGGTTGGGATTGATTTTGGGGGTTATGGTAATAACAGTAAAGGAATTAGGGGCCAAAAAGGGGCCAAAAATAAGCATTTTTGTAACTTCCAGACATAACTTGTGTGTTAGTGTATGGATCTCTCTGACATTGTACCACAAGGTTCCATATCACTAAAGGAATGCTGGGATTGATTTTGGGGGTAATTGCCTCCAAATTTTAGGAATTAGGGGCCAAAAAAGGGGCAAAAAACAAGCATTTTTCTAGTTTCATGACAATAACTTGTGTGTAAGTGTATGGATCTTTCTGAAATTGTACTACAAGGTTCCATATCACAAAGGGAAAGCTGGGTTTGAGTTTGGGGGTAATTGCCCTAAACATTTAGGAATTTGGGGCCAAAAAGGGGCCAAAAAACACATTATTTTCTAGTTTCCAGACAATAACTTGTGTTCAAGTGTATGGATCTCTCTGAAATTGTACTGCAAGGTACCATACCACAAAGGGAAGGCTGGGATTGAGTTTGGGGGTGATGAATCATAATGGGGGTTCAAAAAATTTAGGGGGGGGGATTTATTTTTTTTTCCTTTTTTTCTTTTTTTCCTTTTTTGTTTCTTTTAAAATTTTCCATTTTAAGTTGGTTATTTCTGATTTATATTTGAAATCAAATAATAATGATATGGTAGGAGATACACACCAAACAGGATGTGTAAATTATTATATAATAAGTATTGTGCAATAGCAAGAAATTTTCAATTGCACAGTATTGCACAATAGCAAGAAATCTACAATTGCACAGTATTGCGCAATAGCAAGAAATCTTCAATTGCACAGTATTGCGCAATAGCAAGAAATATCCAATAGCACAATATTGCGCAATAGCAAGAAATTGTCAATTGTACAGTATTGCGCAATAGCAAGAAATATTTAATAGCACAGGATTGTGCATAAGAAGATACTTCCTATAAATTGCTTATTTCTTGACCAATTTCAATGGGGTTTTATTCTTGATTTCATGGGGTTCTTTAATATGCTGAATCTAACCGTGTATTTAGTTTTTGGATTTTGGGCCCCGTTTTTAAATTGGTCCACATTGAGGTCCAAAGGGTCCAAAATTAAACTTTGTTTGATTTCATCAAAAATTGAATTATTGGGGTTCTTTGATATGCCGAATCTAACCGTGTATTTAGATTCTTAAATTTTGGTTCCGTTTTCAAATTGGTCTACATTAAGGTCCAAAGGGTCCAAAATTAAACTTAGTTTGATTTTAACAAAAATTGAATTCTTAGGGTTCTTTGATATGCTGAATCTAAACATGTATTTAGATTTTTTATTATGGGCCCAGTTTTCAAGTTGGTCCAAATCGGGGTCCAAAATTAAACTTTGTTTGATTTCAACAAAAATTGAATATATGGGGTTCTTTGATATGCTGAATCTAACCATATATTTAGATTTTTGATTTTTGGGCCCCGTTATCAACTTTGTCCACATTGAGGTCAAAAGGGTCCAAAATTAAACTTTGTTTGATTTCATCAAAAATTGAATTATTGGGGTTCTTTGATATGCCGAATCTAACCGTGTATTTAGATTCTTAATTTTTGGTTCCGTTTTCAAATTGGTCTACATTAAGGTCCAAAGGGTCCAAAATTAAACTTAGTTTGATTTTAACAAAAATTTAATTCTTAGGGTTCTTTGATATGCTGAATCTAAACATGTATTTAGATTTTTGATTATGGGCCCAGTTTTCAAGTTGGTCCAAATCGGGGTCCAAAATTAAACTTTGTTTGATTTCAACAAAAATTGAATATATGGGGTTCTTTGATATGCTGAATCTAACCATGTATTTAGATTTTTGATTTTTGGGCCCCGTTATCAACTTTGTCCACATTGAGGTCAAAAGGGTCCAAAATTAAACTTTGTTTGATTTCATCAAAAATTGAATTCTTGGGGTTCTTTGATATGCTGAATCTAACCATGTATTTAGATTCTGGATATTGGACCATAATAGGTGAATGTCCAATTTAAAATTTTTAAGTTCTTAGACCACATTCATTCTGTGTTAGAAACCTATGCTGTGTCAAATATTTAATCACAATCCAAATGCAAAGCTGTATCAAGCTTGAATGTTGTGTCCATACTTCCCCCAACTGTTCAGGGTTCGACCTCTGCGGTCGTATCAAGCTGCGCCCTGCGGAGCATTTTATTGTAACTTCCAGACATAACTTGTGTGTTAGTGTATGGATCTCTCTGACATTGTACCACAAGGTTCCATATCACAAAGGGAATGCTGGGATTGATTTTGGGGGTTATGGTACCAACAGTTAAGGAATAAGGGGCCAAAAATAAGCATTTTTTCTAGTTTCCTGACAATAACTTGTGTTCAAGTGTATGAATCTCTCTGAAATTGTACTGCAAAGTACCATACCACAAAGGGAAGGCTTGGATTGATTTTGGGGGTAATTGCCTCAAAATTTTAGGAATTAGGGGCCAAAAAAGGGGCAAAAAACAAGCATTTTTCTAGTTTCATGACAATAACTTGTGTGTAAGTGTATGGATCTTTCTGAAATTGTACTACAAGGTTCCATATCAGAAAGGTACAGCTGGAATTGAGTTTGGGGGTAATTGCCCAAAACGTTTAGGAATAAGGGGCCAAAAATAAGCATTTTTCTAGTTTCCAGACAATAACTTGTGTTCAAGTGTATGGATCTCTCTGAAATTGTACTGCATTGTACCATACCACAAAGGGAAGGCTGGGATTGAGTTTAGGGGTGATGAAACATAAGGGGGTTCAAAAAATTGGGGGGGGGGTTTCCTTTTTTTCTTTAAAATTTTCCATTTTGAATTGGTTATTTCTGATTTATATATAAAAGCAAATAATAATGATATGATTTGAATAGGTAAATTAAAAAAATTTAAGTTCTTAGACCACATTCATTCTGTGTCAGAAACCTATGCTGTGTCAAATATTTAATCACAATCCAAATTCAGTGCTGTATCAAGCTTGAATTTTGTGTCCATACTTGCCCCAACTGTTCAGGGATTCGACCTCTGCGGTCATATCAAGCTGCGCCCACATAGCATTTTATTTAATTTAATGAAGTATCTGTACCAACAATAAAATTCATTTACACAGACATGACAGATATTAATACAATAATATACTGAACTTGCTAGCTAAAATTTCTTAGCTGTGGATTACTGATATTGATATTGAAGTATTCCTGTCATCATGGTCATAGTTTACATTTGGAAAAGGAGATACAAAACAATATCGTTAAACATAATACATAAGTTTAAATATTTATTACATAATACATCTTATAGGCACATCTGGGTTTTTCATTTAATTTTAAAGTTTTATAAAAGTAGTGCACCTTATTAAAATGTGTGTGGAAAATTAAATTCTTGTTCAAATGTTGAATGAAGACATTATAAAATAAGGACATGGGAATTATTAATTTATTTTGTTAGCATTTTAACAGTAAATTCTTGAAGAAGTATGTTTGCACTAACTTTTGATTACTTTTCACATGTTGAAAATTTCATTTAATATATATCATATTTGCATTTTCATATTTCAGGGATGATGACCTGCAGTGAGACAGCAGTAGAAAGTTACTTATAACTCATCATGGCCATTATGGAAGATCTGATTAAAATTTGTTTAGAAAGCCACCAAATATGTCCATGAAAAGTAGAAAAAAGACAGCAATTCTACATAATGTACTAAGCAGAAGCATTGACTGTTTCAAGACCAAATGAATTGGAATTTAGTGTTTTGATGCTGAGAGACAGAGGAATATTAACTGGACAATTTAGCTTCTTTTTCATCATCATTGAAGTTGATGTTTACCATCTTAAAGAGCTTTAACCTCAGTTAAAATGAATTCTAAATATAGGCAGTTTGGAGATTTGTGAATTTTCTTACAATTGGAGTTTCAAAAAAGGATTTCATTTAAAAAAAAATGTATTTCACTGATGTAATTTGTCGTCTCTTTCATGAAATATTTGAAGAATCTGCAATATCTAACCAAGTGAGAGATCTTCAGATCATTTGCAGATAGACATATATATGATATTCAGTTGAACTGTAAAGAAGGAAATATTCATTTATAAGACTTATATGAGTGTTTTGTTATTTTTATGGCAAGTACAGGGAAAAGATAAAGTAATTTGATTTAAACATTAATCCTACCTACAGATATACACGAGATATACATGTAGGCATACAATTCACTGATGCACGACAAATGGAGTTACATGTTATTTTAGAACTAAGAATATGACATACATGTATGATTGCCAATGAAACAACTCTCCATCAGAGAACAAATAGTCATATATTGTCCACCAGAGAACAAGAAAATCATATTTTATCATGATTTATATTTCAGTTTCATTTCATAACACAGACTACAGGTTTACAAAAAGTTCAAAAGTATAATAAAAGTGTTTTAATTGCAGTTGTTGGTCATATTGATGTTGGCCTTCAATACTGAGCAAGACCTCTGTACACATGTAGCAGCCACAGAATGTTTGATCCAAAAAATTATGGGTATTTTTCTTTGCTTGCATTTATATCATGTAGCTGCTATTTTGTACATATGTACATTTTAATACATGTTCAGGAATCACGTGTATCTAGTTTGTCTACCGGTATACTTGGAAATCTGGAAATTTTGCATGTTTTCATATTAGTCAAGTTAAAATTGGTTAAACCATTGTATTATTTTGGTTAAAAAATATAAATTGATTTAAATGAGACTGCAATAGTTAATCTCACATTTTTCATCCTTTGTTCAATAATTATAATAATCTAGGGAATAAATTTTACTAAAAAATTTCTGTGTATTTTTAAAAGATATATAAACTTGGAAACTTGTGATGGAATATTTCCACAGTATAAGAGATTCTTATATCTAGCAGGTTTAGCAAAAGATGTTGGGTATACCATGTATACATGTATGGCAATGAGACAGCATTCCCAACACAGACAGATATTACTTTCTTCTTATTTTAAATTTAAAATTGAGAATGGAACAGCAGAAGGTCACCAATAGGTCTTCAATGCAGCGAGAAATTCTCGCACCCGGAGGCGTCCTTCAGCTGGACCCTAAACAAATATATATACTAGTTCAGTGATAATGAACTCCATACTAAACTCCAAATTATACACAAGAAATTAAAATTAAAAATGATACAAGACTTACAGAGGCCAGAGGCTCCTGACTTGGGAAAGGCGCAAAAATGCGGCGGGGTTAAACATGTTTATGAGATAACATATTTATGTAGTACAGCTAGAATTTGATATAAAAATAAGATGATGTGGTATAATTGTCAATGAAGTTTTGATTAACAATTAAGTTGTGTTACTTTTTGTGATTGGGTCAGGTAAAGATTAACCCATGATTTTTGGTAGGTAGCAGTTTTATAAGCATTTACATGTACATACAGTATCATTTTTACTTTCCATGCTGACTATTTTGTCCTGTCCCCTATATCATGATTCATTCATCTGAAACTTTTGGATTGTGTTTACATGTATGTAAAAATAGTTAGTAAGTTATTTCTGTATTTTTATACATACTGGGACATAGAATTTCTTTTATTCGGACAGAAAAGAAATACCATTTCAGTTGGCTCCAATCTCAGCAGTTGATAGGAAATAAGTTTTCTGATTTTAACATCTTTAAGATGAACCTTAATTAAAATATTATGGCACTTCATAACGAAAACACAATTGATTGATCGTGCTGAATGTCACGTAAGCACTTACGGCTTTTTCTTTGTTGTCCATTTGTATTGGTGGACACTTTGTACAGTAGGCAGGAATTTAATATGAAATAAGCGGCAGAAAAAAATAGGTCACTTAGTATTTCCAACTTCATGATAAAATTGTATACTTTTAAGGTTGAGAAATTAAGATGATATATATGCCAAGGCTGCAGATTGAATAATTTGTACATGTACATGTACCTAAATCTGAAACAAATCACAGATGAAATTAAAATTAGTCATACATGTATATGCATCTGATATAATTGTTCAAACTGGTTATCGCTTTATGATATATATATACATGTAGCATGATGTAGTGTAAGCATAAATTATAGAGCACAAAGTTTTTTTAAGTTTGGGTTACTCAATGCCACATCTTCTAATCCTTATTCCAAAAAGGTAGTTTGTGCAAATATTAAAACTTACTCGTTCTATGAAAACAGAAATATATCCCCCATGTTAATCCTGGTGTATGCCTTTGAATCCCAAACAAAATAAAATGAGTAAAAGGAGGGCAGAATGATTTTACCAAGTAACTGTAAGGATGTTAGAATAAGTAAAATATTGCTCCAGATGAGTTGAAAAGGAATATTCTGTGCAATAACATGCAGGAAATAACTATGGGCGTAATAAAAAAAAGCAAGCCATACAAAAAACTGGCATGGTAGCTGGTGAAAATTCATAATTATTTAGATGCAAAACAATCACCCTGCCCCCACCAGAATGAATTCAAAAAGACCTCCCAATCATGATTTACAAATTGATACCAGTCACACTTGATAAGCAGGAGATATTCAACAAATAAAATCTGGATATATTTATGCAGGTAGGAGTTTATAATTATAATTTAAACATTACCAATGACATGCCGAACAAACAAAAAATCATGAATTTTGGTATAAAATTCTTTGTGAAAATGCAACTTTTTTCATTAAAATTTTAATGGTTCACAATACACAAACACTTGAAGAGACCTAGTAGGCTAATCTATTAATTTATATAATGAACTTGCACTTGGAAAATGAGAACTATACAAGCACACCAAATGCGGATTCCGGATTTGAACAAAAAAAGGGGGAAGGCATGCCCCAAGACTGTATAATAATGACCTGAATAATTCTGATTTTTTTCCTTCATTAAATTAAGCAAGCAATAAGATCATATTTGTTTATTCGCCCAATCATATCATTATGACATGAAACGCTGGTGAAAACAAAATATACACTTAGTTTTTCCGTCAGCCGATCCGACTACTACAGGGTCTTTCGAACGCTTTTTTCTTGCATTTCAGGGCGATTATGCTACTACATCTTAAATTAATTGAAAAGTGCAGGTACAAGAGCTATACCAACCCACTCCATTCTGGTATTGGTAGAAAGGCCACATTTCAAATTTTTCAAAAAGTGCTGCTACTAGTTATATAACGTTCGTGTAAAAGAAATTTCACAACCCGAAGTGCCAAAAAGTCAATAAATCGATAGAATTCTCCATGTTTTATTGTTTTTTATTTACAAAGCCTCTAATAAAAAACTAGTGGCAGCACTTTTCCAGTAAAATAAGTTATCCTGATTACAGGGAGACCAAAATCAGGGCGATCCGATTTCATCTTGCACCTGCACTTTTGACTTTTTTGGAAAATGTTTACTTTCAGTTTGAAGTCACGTGACACTAGTGTATTTATATTTTTCTATAAATAAAAGTTTGGAATGTAAATCTGAATAGACCCTTTTCTCTCCGTTTACTTCTATGACGTGTATTTTGGCTTTTAAACAGAGAAAACTAACTCTGAGTTCAATATGATTTTTCTTGTGTATAAAAATGGGAAATTTCTTAATACGACCTTAACATCCCTGCGACCCTTTAGTTGTGCGTATATCAAAATAATGTGAAGGCGAAGTCAATACAAAGTTAAAGAGCCTTGTACATTGTAAAGAAAACTGCAAACTAAATTGACCCAACTCTTCGTTATATGAACTCTGATAGTTGTCGCATTTGGCAATCATACAACATCTCATTTTCTTTATATTGGGTCATCTATGTCTGGAATATAAAAAAAAACAAAATGTAGCGTCTGAAATAATTCTTATCATTTTATTAACAATGGATCTAAACAAGTTTCACATAGTCTTAGTAAAATCACATGCGGTGATCTAAAACCTTTCAATCAAGATGTAAAACCGTTACGAAACCATTTTATTTTAACAGGAAGTAAATTCACTAGAGGAAGATCAGTGTAGCTTAGAACAAACAATAGACTCTTTGAGGACAGAGTTGCAAACTTTGGACAACTTGTTTAAAATACACAAGTGTTCTAAAGTAAAACTTAATTCTACTTGTCGTTTGTCGATACCACTTCAGCCGACTGTGAATAATCTAGTGATGCTTGGAGGGATATAGACTGAATTTAATTCTTTACTATCAATTGTTAGTTACATTTTACAAGTTCTGTAACAATATGCAAGTCAAGCGATAATGTTTAATATTGATTGAGATTATTATATAATATCGATGTTCATTCAAAACAAATATAATGAGTCATTCATACGATTCATACAAGTTTATACCACATGATTGTTTACCGCACAGTACCTTCTAGTCGTATAAACCATCATAGTTTTAGACTAAAATAAAACATGAACTCTCAATTTGTTGTTAATACTGCACATCTGTAAAACTTAACACTGTACGACAAACATGATTTCCAATTTCAGAGAGAGATTTTGTCACAATTATAAGCTTTACGTCTCCTAATTTTTGTGTTAATAGTTCACTGTATATTAAAGATATGATTTATATGAGAAATTGGTTATATGTCCATAGAGACAACCGTGACGAGCTTCCTGACTTGGGAAAGGCACATGCACAAGCGGCAATTTTTAAAGTATTTTTCACATTGTTAACCCTCCAATTTATAAAAAGATAAACAGCTCCACAAAAAATCTGAAAGTGTTTTACCTTTACCTTAAATTAAAATAGAAATGCATTTCCGTAATACTATTTCTGAAGAAGTTTCATATGAAATCATTATAGAGCACACTACAAAACTTTCAGATAAGAGAAATCACTCATTATTCTGCAATAGAATTTACTGCAATTTCAATAAAAGACATCTCACAAGAAATATCTCATGACCCTAGTCAATACGAAAAAAAATAGTGTAATGCCGTACTGCGACATACCGTTGCTCATATTCAAGTTATTTGTTCTCTGGTGGATAAAAGTCTGATTGACAATCACACCACATCTTATAAATTTTATGTAAATTAAAAATCTTAAATCAAATGATCTAATCACAGTAAATAGATCAAATGAATCCCTTATCGCTCCTTGTACTTTAGTTGATTTACAGTATTGTAGGATTCTTAAAGTATACACACACAAAAAAAACCATGGAAATTGTATTGACAGCATCTTTGTTGTCAGCTTACATCAAGGAGATTTAGTCTTTTCTGCAGACCCTTTCCTCGTGTAATAGTATACAAAAACTATCAAAGAATCCATGAATATAAATAGGTACACCAGCCGCGACTCATCAGTGGCGCTTGAACAGTTAGAAGGTAAAATTATATGTGTAGTTGAAGGGCATTGAAAACAAAATAATCAAAAAAAGTTGCGCACACTACGGTTAAGGCTCTTTTCGACTGAGGGTAGAAAAAACCTTAGTATTTCAAATTATTTCACATTTTGTCTCTACATTGGCTGTTCTCTTCAGGAAAAACGATTGGACTAGCTATCTTCATATGTCTTTAACTTTAGAATTAGGAATGCTTGTGTGAAGAGTAGAGAAGTGAAATATTTTAAAATTTAATGTTAACAAAATGTGAAATAATTCGAAACAGTAAGGTTTTTCTAATGTGTATAAAGCTTTGGTTTTTAAGTAGAATGATATAAAAACTCAATAACAATTGAAAGGGTCATGTACGTTGCTATACCGGTATATGAGCAGTTTTATGAAATACCCAAACGAACTTCCTTTATCACTTGAAAAAAGTAAGAAAATGTGTAATACTTAATTTTAAAGAAGGCGTCATTTAAAAGTGTAATCTTGTTTGTATTTGCAGTAATGAGATAGTGAATTATTATGATACCTACTTCCTAGTTCGGGCCTCGGTGAAAGTGGTCTAAGTAGTTCATCTACAAAGATCGATCTCTAGCCGGTCAACTCTGATATTGTGATTTCAAAACACCGCTAGTGGCGAGATGTGTTCCAATTTTAATTGACAAAGATTGCGAGTTTCTCGGATTCCCTCTAGATTCTTCGACTTCCTTAATGAGTAACACCAATAACAACTGGCTGCAATAATATAGGAAAGGTCGCTGACATTGTCGTTATGCACCAATAAACTAATAAACTTCCAAGTTATATTGACTTTTCATATATTTGTTTATGATTTTGCAACAAAAGCATTTTTTACTTAGGGTATCATCTGTCCTGCACGTGATTCGATACTAACCAGTTTATAATTAACATACCTCGTGACCTTATTTGACCCAATCGCAAATATCAAAATAAATTATGGAAAAAATCCAAGCGCATGCCAAAACGTTTTGTTATTTTACTTATTCAGTCAGTATATACATATTATGTTTATGAATACAATGACGCAGATGAATCACCAAATTGTTCACATATTGTTGTCAATTTAATGGTATTTTATGCGAATGTCATACAAATGAGAGGTTTAGCTAGCTAGAAAACCAGGTTTATTTCATCATTTTCTACATAAGGAAATGCCTGTACCTAGTAAGGAATATGAAAGTTGTTTTCCATTCGTTTGATGTGTTTGAGCTTTTGATTTTGCCATTTGATAAGGGACTTTCCGATTTGAATTTTCCTTGGCGTTCGGTGTTTTTGTTATTTTACTTTTTGCTATCCCCTAAAATGATACAATTCTTTAAACTTGTCTTAAAGCTTGTTAAGCAATTAGTGCAGACCAACCAGTTATTCTGCTTTACTTTAAATGAACTCGATTGGGTGAATGTTAGGATCCTTATATGTTATCTGCCTAACGCTTAAATCCCGCCTTCATTGTGCCATTGTCATAAATTCAGCGATACCTTCTGTTTATTTCAATTTAATAAATTATGGTATTGTACTCAAACTTAGGAGTAACTTATGTTACAAATCCTTCCTGCTAATTTGATATACGACTTTTGTTTAGATCCTTTAGGTTTGTGCTCTTAACATTTCATAACTTTGTCTTTCAAAACTTTTATTGGAATTTGCCTTTTGAAAATTATTCCAGAAACAGGAAACGTATCCATGCGAATTATACCATTCCCCATCCATTTAACATTAATGGTTGGATATCTCCTGCATGTTATTGATTTGTGTTCATTTGGGTCAATATGCGCGATTCATTTCAGGACGGCAATAATGTAGCATTTTCTTCGATTCTTCCGCCCATATCGTAAACTTGAATATGTATGATAGCTCGTTCAGAAGATGATACTTTTTCACACATCTGTTTAAATTTTAGGGTAATAAAATGGGATTTAATTTTCAGAAATTTAAAAACCCCCAAAAGCCCTTTTGATGTGACATTTCAATTTAATAAAAGCTATGTTTGCACTCAGAATATTCTTTGGATTTTCAGTTCTTTCTAAGCATTTACTAACTCCAAAGATTTTTCACCTTTTATGCAATGGTCCTCTGCGCTTCAAATAAGCACAAATGGTTAAGCTTGTGTTTGTTTAAAATAGCAGCATGTACATTATCACTGCACAGAATTTGTTTTTACATTTTATAATTGAGTACATCCCTTGAGATTCATACGGTACATTATCGCATGAAATGTTTAGTTCAAATCTACCATATTAATACGAAATATTCAGTATTATAGGATTAAACACATTTTACGGGACTTTATGTTTGTGTTAACTGGATAAAAATTCCACAAACAAGTAAAAGGATATTTACATAAAATTTTTTATTGAAGTTGTCCTGCTTACACCAAAATAACGCCAGGGAATGAGTTTATTGCTTTTAAATTGTCAACTGTAGATAATGTTTGGAACTCTTGGTTTAATAGCTTCCTTGTGAGCAGCAATCCTCTATCAAGGAAATCATGATAGGAAACACAAGCCCGGGAATATCGTATCAATTGGGAGATATATACTCCGTATGCAGGCGCTGTTGGAATGTTGCTACATAGAAATGGAAAGTTCACAATTGGGAAGCTGAAATCATCTCTTTTGTCGTAAAGTTTTGTTTTCAACCGACCCTCATTGTCAATTTCTAGATGTAAGTCAAGATATGAGGCATACTTAACTGTATCTGTAGTATCCTTTATCTCTAGTTCGATGGGATAGATTCGTTCAACATAGTCACCAAATTTTGTATTATTTAGTGAGAGAACATCATCTATATAGCGGAACGTAAAGTTAAAGGATATTGCTAATTTCTTATCTTTCTTCCTAAGAAGTTCTTGTATGAAGTCAGCCTCATAATAATAAAGAAACAAGTCGGCAAGAAGATAATAATGTTCCAAGCATCAAATTAAAACAAATAAAAGACCACACAAACAAATCCCAAAATAACAAACAAACGGCCTAAACAGAACGTCCATATTCATATAAGATAATTTTTGCTTGGTGAGTTTAATTACACTTGTACAATTATACTTAGCATATATCAATATTGTGAAAAACATGGTTTATTATCTTAACTTAAATGCGTTTCTAATAGTATTTAGTATACAAAATCCCCAAAGGTACGTCACAGTTAAGTATTTCCTAATTGTTTAATCTGATAACACGTTGCTATACAATGGTTTCGTCATATCTAAACTCAACATGAGTGTTGAAAGGCGAATATTAATACATTGTATTTGAATATAAATGTCTTCCTATGTTGATAAAATGGTAAAAATATTTATTTTGTAATGCAACAAAAGAACAAAAATATATAAAAAAAAAAATCCATAATTTAAAATGATTGCAGCAACACAAGCCCGGAAGACAATAATGCATATCAAAAAATGAAAACAACACGTTAAATAATTGGATGCGTCCAAAGTGCTTTTCTTGATTAACCTTCATCAGGAACGCCCAAAGCCGCATATTTCAAAGGCAGAAATGTATAAAAACCGAAACAGTTGAAGAGATACATGACAAACTATACCTAAAAAATAGACAAAACCATCTAAGGTCAACCTTAGTTTCTTTATAATTTTAAAATTTATAAACGGACAATTATAGAAAGGTTTGTTATAAACACAACAGCAACACAAGCCCAAAAGACAATAATGCATATTTAAGATTAAGAAATGACCATTTGATTTTGCAAGGCGAGCAAAGGGCAGACATATTTTTAATATGAATATACTCGTCTTGTAAACACTAAGAAGAAATTTTTAATAAGGTAATATTTTTCTGTCCTACAGAAATTGACAAAATGCAGGGTATGATTGTGCATAACTTGTACATTGAGAAACGAATATAAATTAAAGAAAAATAGACATGGTTATGAATAGGTGAAATGAATAATACATCCTGGAAATATGCTTTTGAACTTAGCTTCAAATGTTTTATATAGAATTACCCGGATGAAATTCATTTCAGAACAATTTTGACTACGATCGGTATCATAGGTTTATTTGACTTATGTATTTATAATCTTAATGTCATGATCTGATTTTCGACATGTGATGACGTAATATGTCCTCTTAGTTCCAATTTCGTCTTATCACTCTTTATATACATTGTCTAGAAGTAACTTTAATCTCTATTGGACATGTTAAAGTACTTTATTCTGGTTTTGGGGATATTATTCGTAAATGGAAACGATAATAGCGACAAAACATCTTCAAAACGCCTTCTTTTAAATGACCCTGACGTGATTGGTAACCGATTAGCACATTTAGAATCAACCCTGCAAACTGTTACCAGATCTTTGACAGATTTAGAGACAAGATACAGTCACCAAGAAGGTGTCATCAGTGGTTTACAAAAGGAACTGGAAGTTGAAAGGACAAAATATCAAGGTAGGTGGTAAGAGGTATTATTTTTTTTTCCAAAATTGTACTCAATATCACATTTCATACAGGAGCTTCTTACTTCGTTCAAATTTCATGTGTGACTGTCATTGACTATCTTTGTCACAGGTGATCCCTTGTCGAAGCAACACTTTAATCTCCTTATCATCGATTGTCATTGGATGTTTGCATGCCATGAGCAACACGACGGGCGCCACTGACAGAGTAGGAACTACGAATCCTAAAGCGGAATACCCCTATTTTTGTTAGGGTTAGTGTTGCTCAATCTTTAGTCTACATGTTTATATAAAGTGATAGTGTTATTTGTCTGTTCGTCTTTTTGTCTTTTGGATATAAATTGTTACAGTCTGATTGTTTTAAAAAAATACAATAAGGAATTATTTAGGTTTTCGCGAAACAGCGTCTTTTAAGAAGAACCTAGGTATATAATAATAGATGTTCAAACAATGAAATTACCCATAATCCTCAAATCCTGAAAAGGCGAAATAAATGCTTTTTATAATAGTCGATGTAATATCTATTAACCTATAGCTGTACAATGAACCTATGGAAATGCAACCCGAGTATAAATCCCAATAACCGAAAATTATACCATGTTTTTTTTGTATATGGACTTCGAAAAGAAAAAGAAAGATAGGACGATCTGGCCGCGACCGCCTGAATTTTTTTTCTTAGGAACAACAGAATCAGTACGGGACCACTAAGCTAAACTACCCGCTTTGCACCAGCCGATATAGATCAATGCCTAGGGTGGGAATCGAACCCACGTACGCCAACTCCGTTGCTCTATATTTTTAAAAGAACAAAAATTCCCTCCCAGAACACAAACAAATAAGATTAAAATGTGTTAAGACTTATATCTTTATATATATTATACTGGAAAATATAAGTTGATTTTCGGTTATTGAGAATTTAGGGGGAGGAGGGGGGGGGGGGGGGGGGGGGGGGGGGCAGGGGCACGAATCCCTTATGGAGCTTCATATATGATAAATGCATAGACTTTTCCATAGTATTACTCCAAACGTTGAAATCCCTTTTAATAAATGTACGACTTGGGCTTTTGGTACAAATTAAAACATGGAATCATTCATCCAAACTCTCAGAGAAATATTGTGAAATAATTTCCTCAGAATTATATATTAGTGTTAAAAGATTAAAAAATTTAGAACATTTTGATTAAAAAAAAACTAGCCTTATGCATTTCAACTTTTATCTGCGATTCCAGAAAACTTTCAATATATCAGAAATGTCACAAATTGATGCTTACCCCCGAATCTCTATTGTAGCGTTACAATCCTACAGATACATGAGATAAGAGATAAGTGATTTTGGCTTATGTCTGTTTTTACGTTGCACAGCATATCCAGAAGATTTAATTCCTTCAACATTCTTACGCCTGTAAACCGTCATCAATGTAAATGTACATCCATCGCTGTCAAAAAATCTTGTCTAACTGATATTCCCGCTACTTCAGACGCCCGTGCTTATCTAAGAAAGTAGGCGGAGCTTTATGTGTAAGGCCCGATAATTTAACTGATTCTTATCAAAATTTTTCTAAAAGTAAACAAACAAAAAATATGTGATATATAAAATTTTAAATAGCAAAAGATGCGGTAGGTTAAAATAGATATTCCATATTTTTTTAATAATTTTTCGTAGTATTGTAAATTATACCATAGTTTTTGTTGAAACCCCTCGGTAACCTCACTCAACTTCGTCTCATGAGGTTTTTGCCGGGGGTTTCAACAAGAGCTGTGGTATAATTTACGAAACACCGCAAAACAATCCAAAAGATATAAAATATCTATAACTTATAAATTTGTTTAGCCAAGGAAAATTTTTCGGCATGGTTTCCAGCTTAAATAAAACAAAAGATCTGATAACACATCTGTTGAAATTTGACAAGTTCTTTCATTGTAGCCCATGGTTCAACATATATTCGATGGGGACGAGGTGATTGTTCAGGAACAAATACAGATCTTGTTTATTCAGGTAATTATTGTGTTCTTCGGGAGTTCTTCCATGGTTTCAGAAGCCTTCTCCAATTCTAGAGATGTGACATTTACCTGGTTTTTAAAGGCAAAACAAATGCCACACCATTCAGAACAAACAAAAGAATCTGAGATAACATAATTAAAGAAAGATGGCGTGAAATTTTTGTTAGTATCATTATTAATATTACTTACTTTTCTTGAAACACGACTCAAACAGTTATAATTATTTACGAAATAATTCATTGGTGTTTTGATTTATTCTGATTTTACCACGGGATGACCCTTTGTACAAAACATTTTACCTCGAGCGATATCAAGGGATAAAATATCGGCATAAAGGCCAAACCCGTGGTAAAATCAATATAAATTCAAATCCCCGTGAATTATTTCTATTGTAACAGGACAATAGCAATTCTTTTGGATCAAAGCGTTCTAGGTAAAGGGCAATTATTTGCTGTTCCCGTTATTGAACACACTATTAATATTGACGTAAAACATAAGGAAACCTGAAGAAGTGACAAGCTTAAATTATTTACAATAACATTCTTAGATAGGTTAGGATAAAATAAAACGATTCTGAAAATTTAAGAAAGTGGGTTTTCAACAAATTCATATTTTCGTTTGTTTATGTTTCCATGTTTTGAAGACTTTCACATTCGTGCATTTTCCCGTACAATGCTTATGTTCTTACGTCACAGTTAGAATTGATCATTCAATGACGTCATTTACACCCTTTGACCTAGGGTAACTCATTCATAAAAAAAACATACCACGTAGGAGTGTTATTGGAACAGCCCGATCAGCGTACATACAATATTTTGATATTTTTACCACAGGTGTTTACTCAAGCGTTTGAAGAACGTCATTTTAGAATTGTTAATATTTTATAGCCAGGACTTCGATTGAGGTATTACTTTGATGCATTTATGCAGTTCTTGTTTGATGATTTTATAACAGTTATCTATGATTGTAATGAAAATCAACTGTGATTGATAATGTGATTTTTTTCAGCAATTGAATAGAGTTAACGAGATAAAACAATCATGTTACGTTGGGTTGATTATGCTTCAGTTATGAGGAAAATATTTGCCAAACTTGAGTGGTGTTTATGACCAATTAATTGTTTTATACATTCATAGGTGTAGAGTAACGCCGGGAAAATTTACTGGTTGAAATTTTTTAAGTGGAAAGTTTAGTAACAGAATTGATTTCGAGTTATATTTTTATTAATTTTGTTACAATGTTGTAGTATCTGTGTGGGTGAGAGTGATGGAAAACATTTTCCACTCAAACAGTCACTACAGTTTGAATCGCAAGATTCTGTACACACAGGAGTTATTAATGTGCATGGCGATCGTATTTATTCTGTTAAAATATAAGAAAAGGATAATAATGTAATTTTATTTAAAATGTCTGTCATGCTCCTCTTTTTGACGACTTGTGCTATTATTCATATCAGGCTTACCTCATACAGGAACGTCTTAGGAAGAAGGAAATGAAGTTAGCAGTATCATTAAACTTCACTATATAAATGATGTTCTCTAACTAAATAAACAGCTGCGCCATGAGCGCATGATACGCCCGATGTCTTGTGTGTGAATTTTTATGCAATAATCATAAATAGTTTTTGACATATCTCTAAAACAAAATTTTCAATCAAAACCAAAAAGAATACAGATCTTTAGACTAATATAACTAAGAAGTGTGTAAAATTTTAAGCTATAATCATAAATCGTTTTTGAGATACAGCGCGACATGTGAAAACCCCCCCTTTTTTTTTACAAAAAACTCAATATCTCTAAAATAAAATTTTGAATCAAAACCGAAAAGTATACAGATCTTTAGATAAATATAACTAAGAAGTGTGTAAAATTTTAAGCAATAATCATAAATTGTTTTTGAGATACGGCGCGACATGTGAAACCCCCCCTTTTTTTTTTACAAAAAACTCAATATCTCTAAAATAAAATTTTGAATCAAAAACTAAAAAGTATACAGATCTTTAGATTAATATAACTAAGATGTGTATAAAATTGTAAGCAATAATCATAAATCGTTTTTGAGATACGGCGCGACATGTGAAAAACCCCTCCCCCCTTTTTTACAAATACTCAATAACTAAAAAATAAAATTTTGAATCATCACCAAAAAGTATACAGATCTTAAGATTAATATAACTAAGAAGTGTGTAAAGTTTTAACTATAATCATAAATTGTTTTTGAGATACGGCGTTACATGTGAAAAACACACACACCTGTTTTAGTTACTCAGTCCCGTAACTCCAAAAGTTTTAATCTTATTTTCACCAAAAAGTATACAGATCGTTTGACCATCATAAGAAACAACTATCTTAAGTTTCATGAAATTTGGATAAGTCGTTCTCAAGTTACGGTGCGACATGTTTACGCCGGACAGACAGACGGACAGATAGAGAGACGCACAGAAGGACAGACGACATTTGTATACCATAATACGTCCCGTCAAAATTTTGACGGGCGTATAATAATTCAAAATTTGATGACTATATGTTGAACGCATCCATCCCATCGAACTTTAGATAAAGGATACAACAGATATAATTAAGTCTGCCCCATATCTTGACTTACATCTAGAAATTGACAATGAGGGTCAGTTGAAAACAAATGACAAAAGAGATGATTTCAGCTTCCTAATTGTGAACTTTCCGTTTCCATGTAGCAACATTCCAGCAGCGCCTGCATACGGAGTATATATCTCCAAGTTGATACGATATCCCAGGGTTTTTATTTCCTATCATGATTTCCTTGAAATGGGTGCTGCTCAGAAGGAAACTATTAAACCAAGAGTTCCATGTGGTGTTGAAATCAGCCCTTCGTAAATTTTACTGACGCCATCACGAGTTGGTTGACGTTATCGAATATCTGTTTCACAGATGACAACGGACAACTACAATCCCGTCCCCTTTTCCCCGAATGTGACCTACCGAATTAGACTTATCACCGGGTTTGTACTAACATGACCAACACGACGGGTTCCACATGTGGCGCAGAATCCGCTTACCCTTCCGGAGCACCTGAGATCACCTTCAGTTTTTGGTGGGGTTCGTGTTGCTCAGACTTAAGTTTTCAATGTTGTGTTTTGTGTACTGTTGTTTGTCTGTTTGTCTTTATCTTTTTTAGCAATGGCATTGCAAGTTTATTTTCGACTTATGAGTTTGAATGTCCCTTTGGTGTCATACGCCTCACTTTTAAAAGATTAAGGTGGGTCAGTCATCTGATTGTGTTAATGGTAAAGCAACCATACTGGTAATAATGGGTTGCACTGCAATTTATTGTAAATATTGTAAGTTGAGTCTAATTTTCGCGTTATCTGCCATGAATGGAACCTTATGAACTTTGAACTTTAAAATCTACCACTTTAGACATAGAGTTACGAGTATGTATTTTATATATATATATATATAGTTGATAATTGTACATATCCACAGGTTATGCTGTAGGAGAGAAACACTTCTACAGCAGTAGTTATAAAGGAGGCGCATCAAACATGCTCTGCTTGCCTTCCGATCCAGAACTCAGCAATAATACTGCATCTACAGGTGATAGTTATATGTATGGAACAGAATTTCAAGATTCCCACTTTGGGTCGATCGTCAACGAGGACGTTACATGTGCATTATGTCGCAGTACAAATACATCGTCATCTGTCATGTTCCCAAGCAGAAAAACCTGCTACTCCGGATGGAAAGAAGAGTATGGTGGCATTATTGTATCTAGTAGCTATGCTCATAATCCGTCTCCGTATATATGCGTAGATTCACATCCTACATTTGTCACTGGAGGAAAAAGAAACAACGACGACCATTTGCTTTACATTACTAAAATGCGTTGTGGATCTTTACCGTGCCCACCGTACGTTGACAACGTCCAAGTGTATTGTGTTGTCTGCTCAAAATAAAATAAAACTTAATCTTTGAAACATCACTTTTGCTTTTGCCTTTTTTTCTATGTAAACGAAAAAATTTTCTGTTATACAAGTAAGATGGTATAACGAAGGCAATAAAACATTACTCGCAGAGAGACGAATAAAAAGAATGGCCAAAAACAACAAAAGTCGGCAAAAGTATGCATTCAATGAACAACTAAAAACCTTAAAGTTATGCCTTCTTCTAGAGTTACGGGTATTCCGGAAGGGAACAATCCCATCTCCTCAATGCATACATTTTAATACATCAGCAAAGAGAGCAATGTGTATTATCTCATTGAAATAGTATCGTATGATCAGTTGATGCAGATATCATCAATAAAGACTTAAATATAACAAACATGGAGAGCATTTATCATTCTGTGGTACCTAGGTTTCCATGGTAAATGTTGATCATTGGATAAATTACTGTATTATGTTTGCTGACTGCAAGTTTTCTTTCCATCTTTTGGGTTTTTTCCATGGAATTGTCTAAGCAAAGGAAAGAAAGCTTTACGAGATATCAGAAAGAAGCAGTACACTGTGATTCGTGTTTTTATAAACCAATTAACTTGCCGGGAAAGGAATTGATTCAGGATTTAAAAAAAAACATATCCAGTTTACCATCATGATACTTGTTTTAGTTTGATTACTTTACAAGACAAAACATTTATCCCAATTATTTATTACTGGAAAACATAATTTTGATTAAAAGAGAGAGAGAGAGAGAGAGAGAGAGAGAGAGAGAGAGAGAGAGAGAGAGATTCAAATGAAAAAGGGGAAAACAAACTGACAATGTCATGGCAAAAAATGAAAAAGAAAAACAACAGTATAAAAAATACAACATAGAAAACTAAATATTGAGCAACAGACAACCCACCAAAACCGGGGGTGATGTCAGATGCTCCTGAATAGATCATAGACCCTCATACTTTATCTTAATATTGTAAAACAGACCATAAGAAAGTCAGGATATGATATCATGGTAAAGAAATAAAATGAAAAATAAAAAAACAAAAAACGTAAACATAACATCATAAGAGAACTAACCAATGAACAAAACCAGTGAACTCAACCAAAACCATGAGTGAATTCCCAGTTGCCTCGGAAGGGCAAGTAATTTCATCACAATAACTTACACCAACTATTTCGTTCAATGAATTTATTAACTAAAACAAGGAAGTTCAAGAAATTGAAAATTTATCAAAAATTCTTTATATTTTGTACCTGCGGAATACATGTATAATCATTTGCAGTTTAAATAAGTCAATGGCTAATGGTTTGCTGATATTATTATTGAACTTAATTCCAACAATAAATGTTTCCTTTCTAACCAGTCATCAGGACAGTCTATACATTGATCAGCATGCGACACCCATAAAACCGTCCTTTGATAAAGTAACAAGTTTTCAATGTTTAATAATATATTAAGTCTTTTAAACAAAACTTTAGGGTGTACTTTGAATTTTGAATCTGTCTATTTTCCTGTGAATAATATATTTACTGCTAGATTCAAACCGAGTATAAATCTCAGTAACCAAAAATTATACCATAGCTATCTCAGATCATCTCACTTATACCATGGTTTTGTTATATCTGAACTTCGGGAAAAAAAAGAAAGAAAAAAAAATTTGTCCGCGGCTGGCTGAATTTTTAGAGATAGCTAGGAACAACAGAGTTAGACTGGGACCACTAAGCTTAATTGCCATTTTTTGGCACCAACCAATATAAATGAATGCCTAGGCTGGGAATGGAACCCAGGTACGCCAACTCCGCTGTCCTATATTTTCAAATGCACAAAAGTTCGCTCACAGAACAAAAAAGAAACAAATAAGTTTAAATTGAAAACAACGTTCAAACCTATAATTGCGTTGGATAAAAACCGCAATTTTTATACGTGTGCATGCAAAACAAACTTCTTGGTAGAGGGGTCTAAACACAGCACAAACAACATTTTCCAAGAGACCAAAAAGGATATATATATATACTGGAAAATAAGTTGGGGTAGTTTGATAACCTTGATTTTCGGTTATTGAGACGTATACTTGGATTGTATTCCAGTAGTCTCCAGTGTACAGATATAGGTTTAAAAATTATTTGAACAGTTGAAATACACTGCTGACATCTCGATTTTAACCAGGTTGCTTAAGTTATAATAAAAATGTTGGACCGTATAAATTAGATAGCGTCGAGGTACTCTAAATGAAGCTTAAATATAAGGACGTCTATCTAGGCAACGTGTTATTTTAATCGTGAACATTTTGAAAACCCTTTATATCAATGTACGGCTTGGGAGTTTGATACAAATCAAAACGTGCTTTTGTTGAAACCCCCGCGGCTGCAATAACCTCACTAGACGAAGTTGAAGTCTCATTAGGTTATTACAGGGATTGAAACAAAAGCTATGGTATAATTTACGATACACCGCAAAACTATTCCATAAATAAAAATATCTATAACATATCTATTGAAAAGAGACTTCTAATAACAATGTTACAAAATAGTTTTTTTCCCATAATAAAACATATTCATAAATCACATTCATCATAAAACCAAAATAGAAACATTGAACACCGATTAGATTTCTAAATGCTAAGATCAAATGCTAATTATATAATTTGTCTCCCTTTTTCAAAACATTTAGATATCTTTTATGTATGCTTATTAAAAAAAAAACTAGCCGTTTTTCCTCCTCTTTTTCTGTCCAAATGAAGTATGTCCACCTTATCACCTCGAACATGTGAACATAAGGCTCCGTGTTGAAGGCCGTACTTTGATCTATAATGGTTTACTTTTACTAATTGTGACTTGGCTGGAGAGTTGTCTCATTGGCACTCATACCACATCTTCTAATTATATCTATATACAATACAACTGTAAACCTTTAAATGACTCTCAGTTTGGTTTGAAAAATGAGTATGAGCCCACTTACTTATCCAGGGGGGGGGGATAGTCTACAAATGTTCTTATACGAGCTTCGTATTCAAGATACAACTTTTATTAAAATCAAATACTTCATTTTTCAAAAAATGGGCACAAAAGCAATGCGCCCCTTGAGATACCACCGATTGTCGATAAAAACCATTATTTTCTTCAATTGAGAAAAATGTTATACTTTTGATTCGGTAAATGTATTGCATTTGTTTTTACTTTTAAAATAACTGATATTGACCGGGTAAAACGGCCCAAGTAAATATCATTTTATCACGAGTAAGATAAATAAAGATACACGTTTTAATTTTTTTATGAAATGAAGAAAACATTCAATGATGATTTTGTTTTTTATTGTGTCCATATTTATTGTTTAGGGGTGTCTTTGCAATTTGTTTCATTCCAAATCAAAACACGGACGAATTTTTCATAGTTTACTTTATTCCTAAGTTCCTAACAATTAGTTCTTCCCAGACGCACCAACGTCTTCTCAAGTCATATTCACTGTTTCTAAACTACCCCGACAAAATATGTTTGGATCTACTCGATAGTAACTTATATCAAGAATGTGACGGACTATTTACAGACAGAAAAAAAGGTAGGATGTCTATTTATTAATTTGTTATTTGTATGAAATTGTTGAATATAAATACACATATACAAATCAGAAATTGTGGTATGATTGCCAATGAGACAACTCTCCACCAGAGATGAAATGAAAAAGAAGTTAACAACTTTAGGTCACCGTACGGCCTTCAACAATGAGCAAAACCCATACCGCATAGTAAGCTATAGAAGGCCCATAAATGACAACTATAAACAATTCAAACGAGAAAATTAACGGCCTGATTTATGTACAAAACAAATAACAAAAAACAAATATGATATACAGCAACAAACGACAGCCACAGAATTACAGACTCCTGACTTGGGACAGGCACATACAGAAAGTGATGGGATTAAACATGGCGTAACTCATCAGATCGATACAAAGCACATAAAAAGCAAACACAAAAGACACAATGTTAAGATTTGAGAGTACTCGTAAAAGCTAATTCAAAACTAATAAAAAACTAATGAAAAATCATATGTCAACGACTCTTTTTGATTGTGAGATGTAATATGTTCTACAACCGTCTTGATTAATGGACAATTAAGTAAATTCCATACAATTTGCGCAATTAAATGTGAATAAAACGAAATTGAGGTAAGTGTCATCGAATTCATCACTTTACCGTGCATTTTACTTATTTCACCATTAATCAGAGCTTTTGTATAACATCTTATATTATAACATAGTAATCTATGTTTTTATATTCTACAATTTCTTACAAATGACAAATGAAAAAAAACAGGCAATATATGCCCATACATGTTTGTATTATTCAAAATTATCAGTCAATATGTGTTCTACAAGGATCACCAGTCCTTCACCTTTCATTTAATACCTAAGTTACTTAAATGTATTCTAGAAAGTTTGATATTTACATCTATGCATAGGAACTATTTTGTTTTGAATATGTACTACTTTCCAGTATGTTCTTTTTTTGGCCGGGACCGATTTGGTGGTGTTACATCTTACAAAGTCTATTCGAATTATTTTTGCAAAGAATCCGCGCAAACCAGTGCTAGGGACCATCTTAAACTTGCAGTGAGGTGAGAGTGTTTTTTTTTTTTTGTTCCGTGTTGAATGCCACACTGTGATTTTGAGATGAAGAACAGCAACAAAAGCGCTGTTCCTTTGGTTTTTGTGTGTTTTTTGCTGTGCATGTACTGATTTTGTATCATGGATGGAAACCCCATATCCTTTGTTTTTCTATTATAACTCCTAACATTTCATATTCTCGTGAATTCACAAAACTCATTAAATATTTTCAATAAATTTCCAGCAATATTAAAACAAGAGGCTCTCAAGAGCCTGAATCGCTCATCTGTAATTTTTTTTTGCATTAATCTTTCATAAATTTTTGACAATTAACAAACATAATGAACAAATTAAGAAAAAAATGTCTTTAAAGGGTTATAACTCCTTCAGGGGTCAATTGACAATTTTGATTATTTGAATTATTTGAAGATCTTACTTTGCAAAACACTTTTGCTGTTTGTTGTTTATCTTTTTCTTTAACATTCAAGGTAATAACCAAAAACTGCAAAATTTCCTTAAAATTGTCAAATCAGGGGCAATAACCCCAAAATCAGTTGTCTAATTCGTCTAAAAATTTAAGGACATGTAGATCTCTACCTAATGAATACTTTCACTCCGTGAGTTTTGCTTTAAATGCTTTAGTTTTTGAGATATAAGCCCAAAACTGCATTTTACCCCTATGTACTATTTTTATCAATGGCGGCCATGTTTTTTGACGAAAAAAATAAATAAAACACAAACTTTATACTAGATACCCTAATGATCATTCAGCTTAAGTCTGGTTGAAATTGGTTCAGTAGTTCCAGAGGAGAAGATCTTTGAAATAGTTTACACCGGACGGACGGACGACGACGACGGACGTCGACGGACGCCAAGTGATGGCAAAAGCTCACATTTCCTTTTAGGAAAGGTGAGCTAATAACAAAACTCTCATCTAAAGCGACATTTCTCTATTAATAGCCTTTGAAAAGTACCATTCTTCTAAGCAGTCTAATGTAAGCGGTTGATAGTCTAGATAAAATTTGTTTGCAAACATATGAGGTAATCCAACTAAAGTTGGTAAATCTTCAATTCCAAAGATGCAAATGTCTCTCACGATTTTTCCATGACACCTATTATTATTCGTATCAGGTTCATTCCACCATGAAATATACACCACGAGAAATGACAATTCGTTGGGATTTCCTGAAAAAAAATTTTAATGTTAAAATGTTAATGTTTTATTTTTACGTTTTTAATCTACTAAAAGGATAAGGTATGATAATATAAATAAGAAGATGTGGTGTGAGTTCCAATGAGACAACTCTCCATCCAAGTCACAATGTGTAAAAAGTAAACAATTATAGGTCAAAGTACGGCTTTCAACACGGAGCCTTGGCTCACACAGAAGAGCAAGCTATAAAGGGCACAAAAAATGACTAGTGAAAAACCATTCAAACAGGAAAACCAACGGTTTAATCTATATAAAAAACGAGAAACGAGAAACGAAATCTTGATTGATTGATTGATTGTTGGTTGCTTAACGTCCAGTGGCAAGGCTCATTTTGAGATCATGTCATTTATATTTAGATATGAGCAAAAGCTTTACCTAAAACGATAATTTGCTACACAGTGTACTTCATGTTAAATATCTTTTTCAAAGTCTTGAATCTTTGATATTTTGCAATTTCAGTGGCCAAATAATGGCTCTTATAATACCTCCTCGTTGGATTTTGTGACAGGTATTTGTTTTCGATTTTGAATTGATTCTCGACTATTCCAGTTTTATAATTTTAAAAATGTGATACATGTTTTTCTGTTTGTCTAATATTGACGATCGCAAAAAGACCTCTTTTTCGTAACGAGTGTGTTATAAAAATAAGAAGATGTGGTATAATTGCCAATGAGACAACTCTCCACCAGAGACCAAATGACATATAGGTTAACAACTATAGGTCAACGTACGGCTTTCAACAATGAGAAAAACCCATACCGCATATTCAGCTATAAAAGGCCCCTAAATGACAAGAAAACTAACGGCCTGATTTATGTGTTAGTTTGTTTCCGACTAAAGTCACCTCCCGTTGGTTATGTTACACGTTACATATACATGTACACTATTCTTCCCTTAGTTTATTTATTTTGTAGTTGCATTGTCTCATAGATCAAATTTATTTGTTCAGTGTATGTTCACTGGTGTTAATATGTCTTTTGATTGAGTTAAGCCATTTCAATTGATATTGTATAGTGTGTCTTTCTGTGTTGAGGTGTTAAACTATTGTTTCAGATAAGGGTGAAGGTTTGGTACCATTTAAACGTTTAAACCCGCTGCAATTGTTTGCACCTGTCCTAAGTCAGGAATCTGGTGTTCAGTAGTTGTCGTTTGTTGATGTGGTTCATAAGTGTTTCTCGTTTCTCGTTTTTTATATAGATTAGACCGTTGGTTTTCTCGTTTGAATGGTTTTACACTAGTAATTTTTGGGGCCATTTATAGCTTGCTGTTCGGTGTGAGCCAAGGCTCCGTGTTGAAGACCGTACTTTGACCCATAATGGTTTACTTTTATAAATTTTGACTTGGATGGAGAGCTGTCTCATTGGCACTCATTCCACATCTTCTTATATCTGTATACAGTACATTTCTATTTCAACCACTATAAGTTAGAAAAAATGTGCCTATCGTATCTAAAATTATATCTTAACGTCACTTCACACGAAATACACATAATTAATCGTCTTAAAAGACATTCATTTGATAAAATGGCTACCACGTATACGCTTAAAAATATTCAGAAATTGAAATAATAAATTGATATTTACAAATATTTGGTCCAAAATCAGCCGGCCTGCTATTTGGTCTAAACATCAGTCGGCTTTGACAGGTTTTAGTCAGTTAAACGGTTGGTTAAGAGTAATCGTAGTCAAAACGTGGTGTGTAAGTACGCTATATACTAAAGCTCAGACTGTAAATCCGTTGAATGTGTGCTGATTAGTACTTTTCTCTGCGTGAACATGTTTTTTTTAGGTGTTATAAGCTTTAGAATAGCTTTCAGTAACTGTGTGTACTCTTAGATCGATGCATTTTTCTTCTATCTTTATGTTTTTTGTGCTTTGCTGATGAGTATGTTTCAACTTATGTTTAATCTTTGTTCTTCTGTTGTGCTATTACACCACTGTCAGGTGTTATGGAAAAGAACGAGCAATCACACACGTGTTTTACCCCTATATTGTTTATGTGCCTGTCCAAAGTCAAGAGCCTATAACAGTGATTTTTGTTGGTTGTTGTTTGTCACATTTATGTGTCGTTTAATTCTTGTTTTGTCATAAATAAGGCCCTTGTTGTTTTCTATAGCTGACTATAAGTTATGGGTTTTACTAAGCACAGACCTATAGTTGCTTAAACCCGCTTCATTTTGGACTGACTGTGATAAGTGATACTTGAACACTGATTTCGTCATTGTTGTATCACATTTTTGTAAACAGAAAATTAATGTCATAAAAATTGTTTACTACAGGTCCAGAAAAAAAATGTTTTGGTAACTTGATGTGTAACCCCAATACACAATCAAATGTATAAACTCATCAAAGATACCAAGCTCAAATATTTATACCAGACGCGAGTTATGTATTCTTAACAAGTCATAAATGGCGGTTAGAAGGCCAAATCAAAAACAAAGCTGATGAGCATTGAAAACCAAAATCTACAGTGCCACTATGTAAAATACTAAACATTTCGACTAACATACCAATGTATCGGCCAGGTGCAGGAATTGCTGCATTGTAGTTTAATGTTGCCCAATAATATTCATCTGGACTATAGATATCTTTCATCCAAATCAATAGCTCTTTTGCAACATCACTTTCCAGTACAAATCTGACAAAGTTATAACTGAAAGCTCCAATTGCTAATCCTTTCACAATTGCAATGTTTTTATTATGGAAAGGAGTCTTTTTACCATAGCGATGCAAGTCATTTCTAAATGCAAAGAATCGATTTTGGTACCTGTCTTTGATTGTTCGGCTTTGATTTATGATTCCTTCTACAATGTTAGAGCCATTAAATTTTGTAAGAATTTTCACAATCTCAGCGTTTGTTTTCAACGGATACTGTTGACTTGGTATATTAAGCACGTATTTCCATGAGTTGCTTCTTCTAACAAAATCAGACATACAATTAATTTCTGCATTCAGCCTGCTAATATGTCCATATATAATATCAACCTTTTTGGATACCACAAAAATGTTGTTATAGCAACGAGCTATGGAATCGACGGCTAAATGAGTTTCTTCCGGTGCACTTAGGTCAACATGAATACAATAATGATTTTGAGGTCTGTATATTGCTCTTAATAATCTAACGACTTGCTCAACATCTTTATACATTAATATTATGAAGGCTATTGGAAATTTTAATTCTTCCTCTGTAATGGGGAATTTGTAATTAAACATGAAATCGTTTAAAAGAGAACAATTCGTTGATAAATACGTGAAATATTTGTCAGGTGATATCCGGTAACCATATTTGTGCATGTGGGAATAGGCGAGTATTATCTCGGTACTATCTCTTTCAATTAGTTTTTTACAGGAAACTTCATTTCTCCCTCGAAATTTTGGAACTCGTGTCCAATGTTCGTTGTCCGTTTTGTTATTCCCAAATATAATAGTATAAATATCAAAACACTTTATAATAGTCAATATCAACATTAAGAAAATAATCAATTTATACGATCGTCGAAATTGTGATATAAGTCTGGTCATCATCTACAAATAAAATAAAGCAATGTAATGTAAAGTTAATATCATACTAAGTCCATCAATGTGTCTATTGTATATTTATCTATCATATCATTCTATCATTAGCCGATCCATATATATGGAATTTTTCCGTGACAGCTACAACTACCTTTACTGTCAATCAAACAATCAAACCAACAATTCCACTTATCTTTCAAATTGATAGTTTTTGCATTTTCTTATAATAACGCATACAAAAAAATGTTTGTTAATTTTTAGAGCTTTCTGATTCCAAGATCCTCCAACATTAAAAAATTCCAAACTAAAAAAAATCAAAAAATTACAAAACCATCCAAAATTGATCTGAACTTTAGATTTCAATAATCATCCATGAAAAACCCACCAGAGTTTACAATCAGATGATGCAGTTAACAATTTTCCTTTGCATTTGGTCTAGTGCGGTCATTTTTTTTTTATATAAAAACTTTGACGATAACGTAAGGAGTGTCATATGGAAATCATCTCCTACGAAAGCCATATAGGTTATGATGAAATAAAAGTTAAATAATCAATCACTTAAACCATCGCATAAAAACCACGAAGCACAAGATCCAATACCTTAAATCGTTACGACGCTCAGATAACAAATAGTTTAAATTCGTGCACCAGCTCAAAATATGGTACTTTCAACTCCCTGAAGCAAAATTAATAACCTTAGATGGGTTGGGTAATTCTGTAAGGCCCTATTCGGTCATGTAGCTCTTCATGCTTTTAGGTAGTTAATTACACATAAACACCAATTGCTTTCATGTTTTTGAGGTATAAGTGTTCCTGATGATTGTAAATCCAGAAATGCGCTTCGGACGCAAAAAAATATATAAAGGCAACAGTAGTATACCGGTGTTCAAAAGTCATAAATTGATTGAGAGAAAACAAATCCGGGTTACAAACAAAAACCGAGGGAAACACATCAACTATAAGAGGAAAACAAAAAAACAACAGGAACACCGAAGTGCAACAAAAACAAACGCCCAACGCACATAGAAACGAACTATTTGATACCAACTGCCATATTCCTGTGTGACGTCCATTTTCGCTGAACTAGTACACATTTTTGTTTGGTGTCAGCTGAAGCCCGCCTCCGGGTGCGGGATTTTCTCGCTGCTTTGAAGACCCTTTGTGGCCTCGGGCTGCTCTTTGATCGGGTTGTTGTCTCTTTGACACATTCCCCGTTTCCATTCTCAATTTTATGTATAGCAGAAACATGTGTTCACAGTTACGTTTATTGGTTATGCCAGTACGCAGCGGGGTTGTTTGTCTTTAGTCAGACCTTTAAATAATGTAACAGGGCTAAGGATATAGCTTGTAAATCGATCATGTTGAAGTGAGACCGTTTTGGTTATTCTATTTATGTAAAAATAAGATGTGGCATGATAGCCAAAGCAGGGTTTAACTGAAGTGGATGAAAGCAATTATAGGCAACCGCACGGCCTTGAACAATGAGAAAAGCCCATACCGTATGGTTGGGTATAAAAGGCCTCGACATTAAAATGTGAAACACTTCCGTGCTATTATTATAGTGCCTCAAAATATGTAATATATACTCCTGTAGTAGAAGTGATTAATAGTTTGAACAGGGACTTGTTTATTATTTAAGACATTGAATTGACTTTTATATGTCTTTTTATGTCGATTCCTTGGTGTCTCATTGACTTAAACCCTTCCCCTGAACCCCCATTATTGATACTGATTAAGTAATTCCAGAATCACACGTCGTTGTTATAGATGCGGTGCTCTTGTTTTTCCTTTAGTCAAGCTGATTAAAAAGCAATGTCATTTAACCACTGAAAATGATAATTATTTGAAAATAGAAATTGACTACATTTTTCACATGTTTTATGATAAGAATTGGGGTAATCAAGAGCTTGCTTTTATGTATGATCACCTCGAGGTGTTTTTTGTTTGTTTTGTCTTTTTTGGGGAGGGTTCTTTCTAGGTTTCTGTCTGGTGGACGTAAACCTTCTATCGAGGTTATTTTATATTAATAGGTCAATTACTTTAAATGTATAGGGAAAGACTTCTGTTTAAATCCCTCTGATTGACAGAATAAGCATAGACATAAAAGAAGAAGTGTTCAAAGGGAAGTCTTACCGTATTTAGTAAAATTAAAATTCAACAGACAAAAGAAAATGGAAAAACTCACATCTAAGGACAGTTCCTACACTTCTGCACGAACTGTCGTATGCTTTGATTTATCCCCTAGATGTTATCCTTTAAATAACCAACACATGGAATCTGTTTAATGAAAAAATATTTTTGTATCCATGGAAAGATGAAAAACACACAATTTAACGTAATCAGACATAACTCGAGTACGTATTTCATATTTCAACAAAAAACTAAATGAATTGATTTTTATCGATAACACTATTTGTTATCATTTAATGTAAATATCAATGGAGGTGATATCTTCAAATAGTTAAGCTGTGTTAAACAAAATCGTGTTGGAATTTATCTAAAAGGAAATATCTTTGAAAAACGTGTAATTGTAAATAAAATGGTCAATGACATGCACTTATTGAATGTGAACTAGAACGTAATAGCCTTTGTTAATGTACTGCTTTGTTGTCACAATCTTATTTCATCGTTTTACTAGTTTGACCATACCTTGTCAATATTATTAGTAACACTTTGTGCTAGTGACCCAATAGGTTATGTACGGGGTCAATAGATTCCATATGGGTCGAGATCGAGCCAAGTTATGTATATCTTCTTCGATCTATACTGTTAATGTTATATACTTCGTGCTTTATTAATTAATCATTGGCATTTCATGTAGTACCCATACTTCTATTACAATTATAGTACTTAAATATCAGTAATATTTTTACGTGAGATATACGTTTTAGAAGATGAAGAACGTGTACATATGTACATATGCCAGAAAAATGAGAGAGAAATACCTTAGACTAGGAATGTGGTCCGAGTGCAAATTTTGGCGAAACAGGACAAAACACATAATTGATGAATCTAAAAGAAATTTTTGCTCAAAGATGGTAAAAAATTCAAAAGCTTCAAAAGATTTGTGGAAATTTATTCACAGTCTCAATCCATCCCAACAAGAAAAACCATTTTCTTTAAATGAAGATGGTGTTAAAACTAAAAATGTCAGTGACATTTGTAATGTTTTAATAAGTTTTTTGCATTATATGTTGAAAACCTGAGAACTGATAGTTGTATGAGCAATAATCATGATTATGCAAAATTAACTCAATTTGTACAAAAGAAATTTACTAAGTCAAAACAAGTAAAATTTTCAATTCCACCAGTCACAATAAATAATCTATTTAATGAGTTGATCAAACCTGACATTAATAAATCCATTGGATCTGATAACATAGGACCCAAAATTTTAAAATTAAGTGCTCCTTTCATAACGTCATCTTTAACTTACATTTTTAACAGAATAATAGATACAAGTACATTACTCAGTGTTCTAAAGAATGCAACAGTAACCCCTGTTTTTAAAGCTGGGGAAAAATTCATAGCAACAAATTATAGACCAATTTCTGTACTTCCTGTTTTATCAAAACTTTTATAAAAGCATGTTTCAAAACATTTGCATGACTATCTAAAAAGATTAGATCTTTTACACCCAGCACAGTCTGGGTTTCGACAAGAACACTCTTGCCAAACTTCCCTTATCAATATCATAGATATAAAATGGGTACAGGATATGAATGACGGTAATATCAACTTAGCAGTCCTGTGGAATTTTAAGAAAGCTTTTGATGTAGAAGATCATGATATTCTCTGTAAAAATCTTGAAATTTATGGATTGATAATGCGGCTGTTTCTTTTTTTAAATCCTATTTGAATGAAAGAACTCAACAAGTACAAATTGGTAATGCTCATTCCGAAAAACTTTATATCAAGTATGGTGCCCCAAAGGCTCCATATTAGGGCCCCTTCTGTTTACATTATACATAAACGACCTTCCTATCTATATGAAAAATTGTTGCACTGATTTATATGCTGATGATTCAACTTTACATCTTTCTGGTACATGTAGTTGCTATCAAACTCTGCAGTCAAAGGTACAAGAAGATTTACATGGTGTTGAGGAATGGTGTCATGATAACAATATGTTCATCAATAAAAATAAAACAAAATATATGATTATTGGAACCAAGCAAAAAGCAATGCCACATTACAGTGAGAGTTGTTTAACTATTAACAATAAAGTGATACAATCTTCGACATGCGAAAGTCTCTTAGGCATTAGAATTGACCCTTCTCTCACATTGATTTGATCTGCTCAAAAATTTCATCTAGGCTATATCAACTATTAAAGATTAAGAAATTTCTAAATCTAGACTGCAGAATATTATTCTATTATGGTTATATCTTACCACTAATTGATTAGTGTTGTATAGTGTGGAGTAGTTGTAGCAGTGAGGGAATATAAATAGAATATTAAAATTACAAAAGAGAGCTGCTAGATTAATACTAGAAACAGACCCTTTCGCTCCTTCCGAGCCCTTATTCAAACACTTAAACTGGATGACAGTTGAACAGAGAATAAAATATCACAAGTTTGGTATACCGTTTGATGCATACAATCGTTATCTGTCTGAGTCCTAGTATACCGTTTGATGCATAAATTAGTCATTGGCATGCATCCTGGTATACCGTTTGATGCAATTTCACATCAATTTTCTGCCTACCGAATACTTAGTATGCATATAGCGGCAGTAATATAAGTGAACAATTGCTTAGCTTGTTTTATTAGAAATGTGGTTTGTTGTTTTTTGTGAAATGCTATGATTCACTGCATGTTCTTAACATATGTTGCGTTTTATATTGTTAGAATATTAGAATAAGATGTGGAATGAGCAAAACACATACCACACAACAAGCTATAAAATGCTCCGAAATAAAAAATGTAAAACATTTCAAACGAGAAACTAATTACCTGATTTATATACAAAACAAGAAATAAACGAAAAACAAATACGACATAGAGCAACAAACGACAACCAATTGAATTACAGGCTCCTGGTTTGGGACAGGTACATACTGATTTTTTTAAGTGAATGCACGAGGGTATTTCGAAATTACATCTTTTCATTTCATGTTTATGCGCTTAAGAAGAACTACATGTTTTTCTAAGAACCCACCCCTCACGTATACCCAACATCTCTTTTTATTCAAACAAATTCTGATAATTTACATGTAGATGACGACGACCAATTAAAAGTATTGAAGTTATCTTTCTTTACACTAGAATCTCTAATTTGTACATAACAGGCCTATTGACATGACTATGCACTTGGCACTAAATAAACAGTCATCAATGATCATATATGATGAGGTTTGGACTCATAGATGCCTACATTTGTATTTAAGAGTACAATATGCTCACTTCACTATAAATTCATCACTCAATATCTTATCCGAAGTTGTTGTACTTTAATTTTGCTCGAGATTTATCATCACAGTTTTCAACATTATTTGCTATTTGCGTTACTTGTCCTTGTAATCAGAAGGTTATACAACTTGTACATTTAAAGAATCAAACTTCGCCCAAATTAAATCAAGATGAAGTGAATAAAAATATCCTAAAGATTATCTAGCATTGTTACTTGTGGTTAATAGATACCAAGATCTCAAAAGATGCAGAACGAAATTTGTTATCAACATTATCATGAATGAATTACAAACAAAAACAAGCATAAACAAATTAAAAAAAGCACCCATTTATAATTGTTGATATCTTATTTCTCCAGTTGTATATTAAAACTTTTCGTTGAAGTTCTAATTCAATTGAATTTGTTGTACTTTCGTTATTTAAAAAAATTGCTAAGCGACGACCATTTGATTTTCAAGGGAGGGGCGGATAAATATGCTAGCTTTTTTATTTGAAAAGTTTGTAAATGTCTTTTAACATCAAATATTCAAATGGGTAGGTTGTTAGTCTTGCATGTTTTTTAATTTTAGTTCATTTATATGTTTCGGAGCTTAGTGTGACGTCCATTTTCACTGAACTAGTACACATTTTTGTTTAGGGGCCAGCTGAAGCCCGCCTCCGGGTGCGGGATTTTCTCGTCGTGTTGAAGACCCATAGGTGGCATTGGTTTGTTTTCTGCTCTTTGGTCGGGTTGTTGTCTCTTTGAAATATTCCCCATTTCCATTCTCAATTTTATGTCATTGATAAAATCGTTGACATCATCCACCTAAGACGTGACTGTGGTTTTGTGTTTTGATAGGAGTGACTGCATTTTTTTTTAAATATGGAGAGGGTACCGTTTGGAAAAAAGAGTTTCTGTTAAAAATGTGATAGACTTAAGAAACAAATTAAGCCCTTGGAAGGAAGTGACCTTGCATCTCTATACACGGATTCAACCCCCTCTCTTACATTTTTTAATGTGAAAATACTATATATATATTATCTGTTGTATATTCATCAGCTGATTCTTTTGTCAAAGGCCCGGAATGATAATCTAAAAATATGCTAGAATATACCAATTTGGCAAAACCATAGGTTGAAAATCACAGATTACACAGAATACACAATACGCAGAAAAAAAAACTGAAACACTTAGAGCCAAACAATACACCAACATTACAGAAAATAAAAGATTTAGAAATTCTAACCACGCGCATAAACCAAGAGAAGAGAATATAGTATGTTTAAGTTGTTCTTATGTTGTACCGTTACACCACTGTCTCAGGTTAGAGTGAGGGTTGGGCACTCGAAACCATAGTAAACCCCGCCAAATTATGTATGTGCCTATTTCAAGTCAGGAGCCTGTAATTCAGTGATTGTCGTTTGTTGCTGTATATCATATTTGTTTTACGTTAATTCTTTTGTACATAAAGCAGGCCGTTAGTATTCTTCTTTGAAATATTTTATGTTTGTCATTTCGGAATTTTTTTATACCTTGCTATGCGGTATAGGTTTTGGTCAGTGTGAAGGCCGTACGATGACATTACTAATTGTTACGGCATTTGGTCTCTGGTGGAGAGTTGTCTCATTGGAAATCATAGCACATCTTCTTATTTCTATAATGGTTATCGTTGTGTTGTGAAGGAACAGGGGGAAGAATCGCTGCTCTGTCAGGTTGTCTCCCCTTTCTTTCTGTTATGCAGGAAAAGGGGGGAAGAATCGCTGCTCTGTCAGGTTGTCTCCCCTTTCCCTCCAAAACGTAAATACTACTAAACTAACGGGGGACGTACATCTTTTCTCTTAGGGGACTGTTCTCGCTTTCGTGCATT